ATCACTCTTTCAAAGAGCTTGCACACCTCGTCAAGCAACACTATGGGCCGGTAGGTTGAGCCTTCACGTTAGATAAAGATGTTACTGAGCAAAAAAGCTTCTGATTTACCACGCGTGAAGGCCATGTCGTAAGCTCAATTAGGAAGTATATTTAACTGCTTAAGCCCATTTAACTAATCAACGTAACAACGTAACGTAACATTATGTAGATTAACGAAGATTGCTGAAGCTGAAAAAACTCGACAGACGATTATGTTATGTATGGTTTCTAATAATTCCTTTTTTTAAAGTTGTACCGATTCCAAACAATATTAACAACAAAGAGCACTAAAAACCTAACAGCAATCTCGGTGGATTTGCAGTATTTTCTTGAAGGGTACCGTTGTCTATATGAATTTTAAATGGGACTATTTCAGAATAAGAACACACATAAAAAAAAATCCGAATTGATAACCTCCTCTTTTTTGAAGTCGGTTAAAAAATTCTTGCGTCTCTTTGTAACATCGGCTTTAATGTAAATATGGAGAGACAGTGTGAGAGAGATTTCGCAAAACTTATGATACGTTAAGCAATTGCTTTTTAAATGATGTAACAAGTAAAACAAGTACATAATTAGTCTTATAATACGTTATTTCGTGTGAAACAGATTATTTTTAAAGTCTTTGAAGGTTGATGTCTGATCACGATAGTTAGCTAATGCTATACAGTACACAGACTTCATGGATTTCGTCAACTATAACACAATTCACTGCACGGATGGCGTAGTGCTTTAGGGGGTCGCCACGCCGCTTACTACGCTTACTACCCATATGGGACGACACGTTGTGTGATCCACAAATTGTTGTTCTGAGTCTGGGTGTTTTGTGTCTGTTTCATGTATGTTTGTAGAAGTCCCCACAGTATATATTTCGAACGCGGGAGTTGTCTTTTAAAAAAAAATGTATTAAAAATGTTCTAGGAGGCCCTTAATAGGTCGGTTACGTATTGAGGGCATCCTGGAACATGAAGTTTGTAGAAAAAACTGAAATGCGAAATAATCAAAAGCTACGAAATAGAAAGTCGATAACTTATAGCTGCGTGACTAAAACTATAATAACAGCAGTTCTCAGATCCCTCCTATTTCAGCGCAGAATGGCACACGGTGTGGTTTCAGTCGGTCCGATACTAACACACCACCCCGCCGCCCCACCGGTTGAGGGGTTTCCACACGTAACAAAAAAATACAAAAACAACAAGTAAAACTATACACATTATTCTTAATATAATTGTGTAAATATTTACTTCTCTACTTTTAACCTAAAACGACGACATGTTCAATGAGATCGCACATCTGTGTTTTATTAAGAAACAAGCATGTTTTAATCAATTTATACATATACTAGATTTTACTCGCAGCTCGAAGCGCCTCTATGTCGGTTGTCGCGGTAAAGCAGCATATGTTACTCGCTGATAATATAGCTTTTTATTGGTAAAGGAATTTTTAAAATCAGTTTATGCGTGAAAACGTAACAAACACACTCACTTTTACATCTATACAAAAATAAAAAATTGGAGTCTGTTTGTAATATTAAAATAAACGCTTTTTACTAAATGCATATGTATGTTTACACGGTACATATGCCAAAATATCATTTTTTACAATTTTTGTCTGTCTGTCTGTCTGTTTGTTAGGGTAATCTCTGGAACGGCTGAACCGATTTCTACGGGACTTTCACTGGCAGTTAGCTGATGACATAAGGAGTAACTTAGGGTACTTTTTTTAGACTAGCTTCGCCTCACGGCGTTGCCCGCGGTTATAAGAACAAACGCGGGTAACACCGCGGGTCTCAGCTAGTTGTATGGACATATATATTTCTAACAAACATTGTGTAACACCACACAGATGTGATACAGGTGCTTTCATTTTGTTTCATTTGGTATAAGAAAAATATATAAAGAAACTAGACTTTTTATGACAATACACAAGCCATAGAGGTGCTAGGCTTTGAAATGCTTTATTGCGTGTAGGGTATTTCCTATTAGTCTATAATAACTTGATTATTGCCTATTAGTGACCATGATCATTGCTATTCAATGGTAACGTCAGGTAACCAATAACATATTGTACCTTATAAATATTGTAAAAGTCCCAGTTAAGATGTAACATACCAAAACATTAAGAGAAATAATAATGGGACTTTGGTAGGGTGAGTTTTGTTTTACGGAAAATGAATTTAATGTATTTTTTTAATTATGATATATTTTCTTATTATATTAGTTCTCTTATTCCCTTGTCGCTCAGCAGAGATAATTGAACATGAAAGAATTACCTTAATTTTAAACTAAAAGAAGTCTCAGAAAACATTACATGGCATCCCATTACTTTATTAATTGGCATACAAAAAGCTCTACATATACCAGACAGGTATTGTTAAATTATTTGTTATTTGTATCCTAAAACTTTTTTTTATAACAATCACCAAATGTTGAGTACATTTCACATCAATGAAATATTGATAAAGCAAATTATATAGGTCATTGATTAACTCAACACATTATAAACACACTACTGATGTGTTGTAAAACTTATAAAGTAATACATTTTTGTGGTAATAATAATAGAAATATTAAAACCTTATAACTTAACTATTTAAATTTATGCATTTTATTTTATATTAGCCTTTACCTGTGTCCCTACCCATGTGTATGTCAGTTATGGGAGTAATAAGTAGCCTATGTCTATTCTTCTTTATCAAAGTATCACCATGCCAAATTTCAATAAAATCAGTTCAGTGGTTTGGCCATGAAAGCATAACCAACAGACAGTTACTTTTGCATTTATAGAACAGTAGCGGAAGCTAGAAAAAGCCTTTTTTCGCCCAGTTTATATAGATTTTTTGGGACGTATTCCACAATAATCATTATATTTCAGTCAACCTAAACCTTCTTCAGCAATCACACTATCTATTTGTGAAAACCATACAAGAATCCATTCAGTAGTTTTTGAGTTTATCGCTTTCATACAGACCTACAGATGCAGCTGGATCTGCAGTTGAACAGATACATATCAAGATGTATCCTACCAACTCACAAAATTACTAGTTGACTCAATAGTCACAACTAAACTTAAACATAAGACTGAGTCCACTGGGGCTTACCTAAATGAATTGTTCAATTGCGTGGAAATCATACTGTTCAAAAACTTACCAAACAACAATACCAATTACCTATCCAGAATTATTCATACTGTGAAAAAAAAACAATTGCATATTTGTGATTAAAAAATAACTATTGATAATATACCAAGAAATATTTATTTTTATATACCTATAAAAAGGCTGTACTTTTTTAAAGTATTCCAGATCAAATAAAATTAGTATCAGCAATGTTTGCTAAAAATCTATACTTAACTGTGGAGAAAATATGACTATTTCATCAAAAAAGGTTTTTCACATTTTAAGTTCTGTAGTTACTTCCTTCTATGTTGTCCTAAGCAGTGTGAACAAATATTATTTTAAGAAGCTAATCCACATAGGTAAAATGAATAGTGAAATGAAAAGTCTGTACAAATTTTCTTATGGCTTACACCAAGAAAAATTATGAAAGTTGTAAAAGTACCTGGGAAATGGGGACTTTTAGGAAAACAAAATTTAAAATTTTTACACAACAAAGTCTGTCAGGACTATGTGGTAATAACTGTATATTTGTGTATGTATTAACTGTAATGTTTTTAATCACTGGATATTACAAACATTATCTAAAATTGTATGGCAGATGTATATTATGAAATTATGATAAACATTCCTTAGTTTAATGTTACTAAATTTACATTCAAGGTATGACTTACTCAAAATTTAAATTTTTAGGTTTAGTGGTTAGTGACCCTGACTGCTAAGCCAATGGTTGTGGATTCAATTCCCACCCAGAACAAATAATTGTGTGATGAGTACAAGATCAAATGTTATTTCTGTATCTGGATTTAATTTGTTTTTTATTATTTATATGAATGTATTTAGAAATATATAAGTATGTTTATCAGCAGTCTGGTTACTTTGGTACAGGCTCTGCCTAGTTTGTGATCAGACTGCTGTGTGTGAGCTGAGTCAAGTTATTATTATTATATCATTTTCTTTCCTCATTAATTTTGTGATATTTCATACACGAGTGCACAAGAATTATTTCACTAAGTTAAAATGACATCATAACATTTGCATATTCTTATTATTATCAGACAAGCAATAGTTGTTATCAGCAGTAAAGATTAAACAGATGATGGGATGTAAACAGTGCTCTAAGATTTATTTCCTGTTTCTGACATTAGTAAACTAAAGACAAGCAAATAAGTTTTTAAGCACTTAACAATTACAATTTTGGCTCACTGTTGTGCTTTAAGAAGAGTAGATTATATTACAAAACTATATCATTACAATCAGAGAGATATATTATATATTTTTTATTTGATTATAGACACAAGGATTTTTTATACTGTAGGTAATTGGTGTACTAAAAAGCATTTAATTTTCTACTTAATCAATGAAACAACTAAATAACGTTGAAGCATGGCATATCAAGCTCTAAGTATAACTTTTAATAAAAGTAGACCTCCATAAAAATGTTTTCTACATTGATCATATTAATTAATTTTCTCTTAGACACACATCAATTTCAATTGTCAGAAATGAAATGACAAACAATGTAGCAGTTTCACGGGTCTATCCTACGCTTTTATTTCAATAAATAAATACACAATAAAACCCAAATCAATCAAATCATGTATTGCACATGATTTGAGTATTTTAACCTAGTTACTTGAGATACATTATATCTCAAGTAATTGTTCTATTCAGTGTTTTCCTTCCATTTGTGTTTATAATATATATCTGTAGTATCTGTGTTGTAGCTATTTCTTATACATTTTTATTTCTTATTAGAATCAAATGCTATTTTAATCTTGCAAGGTAATGGTACATAAAATGTATACCTAGTGAATAAATTATGACTACAACAAATACTTTACTTACCAGAAAGACCGACGACTGACACCGTGACCAGTTTGCCCCCGGTATTATCCGACTTTTTAGCCATTTTAACGATTTATCACTCAATAGGTACACAACATTGGAGAATATTGCAATCATATGACACAAACATCACAACACTAAGCAAACTATCCGATTATTGACACACAACCAGTAAATTTACATGCATTGTTTAGCACTGAAATTGTTAGTTAAAAATTACGTTAAAAATGTAATATTGTATTGTAAAAAATAGGATTAATTTAAAATAATATTTTCATAATGAGCAGTTGCACTATAAAATATTATGTATTATTATAATTAGAACGTTATTGAAAAGTAAATAGACTGCCAATTAGTGAGAAAGTAAAGGAAGTGTTACTAGAGACTCGCCAGATGTGCCTTCTTGGATCACACGCCCTTGTCATCTCAAGGCCTCAATTCCCTTTATATATAATTTAATGTTCTATTTTTAAGTATAAAAGTAATATAAAATTAAATATGCGGCGAAATAGGCATAAAAAAATTATAATTAGCAGCCCTTCTATTGCCCTGTACTTTGACACATCAAATTTTATTATCGAATACGATGAAGTTAACGGTGATACTGAAGCTTTTAAAGTAATTACTCGTTTTAAACATATTTCAATTTACATTATTAACACATATTTCAACTATAAACTGTATTTAATGAATATTTTCGTAAAAAACGCAGTAATTCTTGACACAACTCGCTTTGCTTTGTACTACAATACTGCCAAGACAAAAAATGATTACCATAGATATAGATAGAGTCCATTTAAATAAGTAGTTGGCAGCCCAGGCATTCATTTCAAAATTTTCTAAGCCTGTTATTTATAACAACCAGCCAGATCTCATAGAACACAAGAGTCACAAATAGATAATTTCTTAAATTCTTTATTAATAAATTAATAAAAAATGGTTTCGGTAAAGACAACGTGAGGTCTTTTAGGGAGTCTCAAGTGTGTTGTAGCCCTTTAAGTCTCTCCCCCCCAGGAGGAAAATGTTTGGGGTAAGGTGCCGTGCAATAGTACAAAGTGAGGTTTCAATCAAGGAAAGAACTGCTTAACACCGGTTTTCTGTGAGGCCGTGGGATCACTTCGGTCAAGCCTGGTCCATTTATACCGAAGCATGGCTCAGTCAGTATCTGTAAACGTTATCAATGCCAGCGTAAATTCCAAATATAACTTAATTCTTACAACATTTTAAGTCAAATCCAACTGTAGAATGAAACGGATAATTCACACTTACTTTTCAAACTATTCAGTTAATAAAACTAAAAAAAAGAGAAGGGCAATTCTTGTAATAAAAGATTGCTCTCAATTCAGTCCCGATCAGCTTTTAATCTAATAACTGTCATCATCATCAATCAAAATTTGAATCGGCATTCTGCAAGTCTTAGTAATAATTTACAATTTCACTACGAAAATACCTTTTATGACTGTTCATAACTGATCGAAAGTTGATCAGAACTGAATTACGACCAAACTTTTATTATCAGAATTAGCCTTCTGTTATCACCAAATTAAACAGAATTGTAATCTGAAAAAAATAGAGAATAAGAACTAGACAAGGACATTTATTGCAAAAAACTGCTACATGTATAGATGTTTTGTGGTAAGTATAGTAACAACAGTTATCCAGTTCTGCTAATAAATTTATTTTTAGTCAGAGACTCAGACTCAACTATTAAAAAAAGGATTTATTTTATGTTTTCAATCTTGCTATGAATTTATTTACGACTAAAAATAAATTGTCCAAGAATATTTATTTCGGATATCTATACTATCTAGAGTAAAGACTAATGTTATAAAGCTGAAGATTTTGTTTGTTTGTTTGGTTGAATATGCTAATCTCAATCGTAGTGCTTGTTTGAATTGCAATCTCTCAGTGTTGGATAGCCCATTTATTGAGGAAAGCTTCATAACATCACACTATAACCAATAGGAGCCAAGCATCAATGAAAAATGTTACAAAATGGAGGAAAAATTATTCCTTTTGAGAGAAATTGCGCGGGTCAGCTAGTATTTAAATAATAGTACCTGGATGACCTTGTGACTGGATAGTATTCTTTTTTGGTAAATTTTCTAAAAATAAATCTAGCTGAGATCGATTAATCGCCCCCGAAACCCCCTGCATACTAAATTTCATGAAAATTGTTGGAGCCGTTTCCGAGATTTGATTATATATATATATATATACATACATATAGAAGAATTGCTCGTTTAAAGGGACTTAAGTTTCAGGTACTTTTCATTTTGGAATATAAATTTTTGAAGCATATAGAAATTGCCTGAATTTTGAAGATGATTGATAAACAATTTAAATTAAAATTTACTTTTTAAAGCAGCAGCAGGAATAATCGATTACACTTTTAGGTTACCTGAGAGGAGATTGCCTTTCTTTTACTTTTTACAAAATGACGAACTTCGACCTTTCATCTTACTTCATCATCTTACTCAAAAAAAAGACGGAAGCTGTCTAGACCCGTACCACGTGGAGGTATCGAGTTGAAGTTAATCAAATACTCAGGTCTACAGTCCCCTGAAGCTGTGAAAAAATTAAACTTCTAAGTTGATATTATTTATTAGTTAGATATTTTTAGATAGTAGTTATTTTAATTTAATCCTAACAAAACGGTTAGGTTATCTAATACGGAAACCCTATAACATATTGCAGGCTATTAAGAGAGAGCAAGGATCGTCGTTTATTATAAACAAGGATACCCGGCATATTACACTCGTACCCCTGGATTAAAGTGTACCTAAGTAGGTACTTTGTGTTTAGTTTGGGCCACAGACAATTTTTGGCTTAATTTATTGTGATTTATTTTGAAATTGCAACTCTGACTTTGACAGTACTACTATTAGGAAAACACAAGCGCAAATGTCTCCCCGCGATATTTTCGTGAGAAATGACTTCTACAAATGATGGGAAAGACGTGAAAAGTAATCAAACTAGTGGTACAAAAGGCAAAACCTTTTACATTGAGCTTTACAAGGTAAGTGTTGTTCTTATAATTATCAAGATCAACGTGCATTAAGCGACGCCGTTGTGCTAGTAAAGTTCACCATGGCCGCCATTTTTGTCTTCAATGGAGCCTTGTTTTCTTATATTTTCAGGTTCTTTATGTGATTTAGTATTAATTTTTTCACCGCTGTCGACAAAGGTATAATATGTACTTTAAAAGCTCTATATTTACACCCAAAACATCTCCTTTATATAGACGTTGCAAGTGTATCCAGCTGAAAAATCATAGTAGGTATAGATATAATTAAAGTATTTCAATAATAATTATTAGTAATGTATATATATCCACGGTCGGATGGGTTTATTAAAAATCCTAAGTTGTCGTTTAAATATAATTTATTTACTGTTGTAGTTAATGTTGATCTATATGTTTTTGTAATCATTAATATGTAATGTGTTTGAAGTCTGACAGCCATATCATAATACCATATAGTCACGTAGCGCTGAAACAACTATTTATATTAGAAAATATTGATGCTATTATTAATATTTTTTGATACTTGTGTGGCAAATCTTGTTCTACCTAATCAGCTGTTTAGGTCAAATTGTTGCTGTCCTGCTCCCTAACTACACTTAAATGTTTAGCAATATTTGACTACACCGGTATACAATATCTTGTGGAGTCAGATTGCATTCTCAGAATTGTTATTAGAGCTTAATGTTTTTTTGTTGAGTATAACTGGGACCTGGGAACTTATTTATGCATTTGGAGAAGTAAAAATAGGCTGTACCGAACACACTATGAACTTTTAAAATAAGATAAATTTTTTAAATAAATTAAATGTGTATTGCTTTTTTTAATTGCTTAAAATGTAATCAACGCACAATTATTAAACAATAAATAACATCAAGCCCTAATATCAGAGGTTAAAAGTTAAAACAATAAGTAAGCAGTTAATTTTTTAACTGTTGCGAGTCCAACTCCTTATCAGTTGAATAATAGGAACAATAATTTTATTTATAGCATACCATATTAGTGGACTTAAACATATTTTTAAATGTGTAAAAGTTATGATTATAATCAGAATTGAACATTAATTGACCTACCAACTTTTCTGATACCCTTTGCTAGATTTCATTACAAAGATACTTATTTAACAATAGTAGCTGCCACAGTTACTAATATCTTGTGTAAACTTTTAACATTATAAAAAAATATTATAAAACATCATTAAGTCTAAGTCTTTACGTAATCATATTCTGCATAATCAACTGTTTAACTGGCCTTACTAGGAAGTACTAGGCTGTACTTAGAAAACATAATCTAAGACTAGGATATAGGGTGGCAAATTGTATTCTGCCTAATCAGCTGTTTAAGTCACATTGTTGCTGTCCTGCTCGCTAACTGTTCTTAAATTAAATATTTAACAATAAAAATACTTTTTGCATGATTTGTATACTTGATTGATACTTGTTGTTTGACTTTGGAGTTTTTATTATTTACAATACTAACTGTCACAGATGCTAATTAAAAATAACTTTGACATGATTGATTATGTACTATCATATAATCAAAAATATAAATAATAATAATAATATCTCACACACAGACATCTGACCCCAAACTAGGCAGAGCCTGTATTATGGGAACCAGACTGCTGATAAACATGCTTATATATTTTTAAATACATACATATTATAGATAAATTACATCCAGACAGTGACCATGACCATGCTCATCACACAATAAATATATTGATATGAAGCCACTGACCAGTGCCATAGGACTATATTAAAATTTATAAATATTTATTTATGTTGCACCTTTGATTGCATCTGTGTAGAAGTTTAATTTAAAAAAAGTACTCATCATCAAAAACGGTTCTTTCCAAAAATCTTTTCTATCCCTACACCAATGTTTACATAAAATTGTTTTAGCAGTTTAGGTGTGAAAACATGTTACTTGAGCATTTGTAATCCTAATGTCCTTTATTATTAAAATCATAATTAATGTAATCAATTGTAATGATTATTGAGTTTTTTACTTTTTTGGTATGGTTCGATGGCTTAACTACAATCACCAATCAACATCAAATTTGGCATGATAACCCCTCAAGCTTGGGTTCATACACTGTATTTTGAGACTCTATTTTGACAAAAGTCACACAAAACAATAGTCTAATATTATTAATGAATCACAGTCAAATTTTGACCTCTGAGTGACAACAAATACATATGATATTTTAACTTATATGATTTAATTATCTATTGATGACTTCATAGATTATGCTAACATTCTTATGCACTGTTAGGCACACAGTTACAAATTAACAGTGTAAAGATGAGTCAGATTTTTCATTTTCCTCATTCGTTTACATAAAAAAATATGTACTGCTCCAATGATCATTGTTATCTATCATATCTGAAGTCATAGGCCTATGACCTCCTAAACCTTTTTTTTTGTCTACTATATCATGCCGGACAGACGGGGTTTAGTATAGGGTTTTTCAAGTTTTCCTTTTATTTGCAGTGCTGTTGTCCTAGTTTGCTCCCTTAGTCGGCTCTTACGGCACACACGGGATGAACAGGGGTGGTAACACAGTATTTTTAATCCGTCACCACACAGACAATCTACCATATACAACAAAATTAACACAGTAAATTTATTTGGGGTCTTTGTAATTAGTTTTCTCTCTTTAGATTCTTACTTTAGATTTCTTTATCGTTATTATTATCAAACTCTGAACGACAACTTGCTGATAAAAAAAAAAAACTTGTACACAAATATTTTATTTGTACAAGAATAGGTACATCAAATGACCGTAAATGCACAAAATATTTTTATTTACATAGATAACATGTTAATTTGTCATCAGATATCTATGTTCGCATCAAAAATTGTTCCATTGGTGTGAACCCAGACAGAAAAAATTGACATGCTCATCAGAAAATAACGATATTGATAATTATCGAATCAACGATCTGTGATTTAAGATCTCTATGACTAAATGGCGTGTCAATCACTTAAGTGTATGAGGTCTAAATATGACCATATTAGCGTAGGCATACCATGAGAACCTAAAGCTTTTGTTATTCTTGTTAATGAAAGAATAAACTTTATCATCATCAACAGCCTTTTACAGCCCACTGATGGGCATAGGCTTCTCCTTAGAAATGAGGTTTTGACCTCCTATACCACGCTGGCCAGACGGGTTGGTATAGGGTTTGTTTCAAGTTTTCTTTCTCAAAATGCAATAACTGTAAAGACTTTTAAACATTTATGTTCCAGTCTGTTATCTTAAAGTGGGTCGTCTTTTTGACCATTAACAGCGATAGCAATAGACAACAACATAATACGAAGGAAGGACGATGCAGATTTCTGCTCTATTTGCAGCCGCGGAGCGGAGCATATGCCTTAACTCCATATAAGAGTTAGTGGCACACCAATCGTGTATTATTATTATACTTAATATGTGTTTGTTTACCTTTAACCTAAAACTCATATTGTAACAAGTGCAAAAAAACTTGGGAATCGAATCCCGGTTCGGGTTCTTTTTCTTTAATTCTCAGTAAAAACAAATTTTTAATTTTAGCTCATAGATGACAATATGCTCGCCCTCTACTAAGGAGAATAAAGAAAAAACACCTTTTTCGAAAGGTAAAAGTTAAGAAAAAAACATTTAATTTATTAAAATAAAAAAAAATCTTAAACTAATAACTTATTATTCTTTAGTTTCGAATGTTTTATTCACATTTTATTAATGTACCTACTAGCTTGTGCCCACATGTTCGCGGTAAAAAGTACCCTATGTTACTTGCTGATAACATTTGGTAACAAAAAAATTAAAATCGGGTTAGGGGTTTAAGCATGCAAGCGTAACAAACAAACAAACACTTTCACATTATAAGTATGAATTGTGTTCCCGCCAGCATTGTTTGAAGTCTACCAATCTACCTTTAATTGATTTGATTTTGATTGAATTCTATTGATTTAAAATATTGCCTTCAATTGAAAGGGTCATCCTATGAAACTGCATTGGTACTTGTTTAAGAACCAACCTTTGTAAATACAGAAGTGGAACAGCCTCGTGCCGCTGAATAACCACGCCAGGAGGAGCTGGTGGTACGGGCTACGAAGTATATGCTCCTATAATAAGACACTTGCATATAACCTTTATCCAATTTCATGACTGCAATATTGCATACTATAGAAAATACGATCGGTAAATGTTATCTATGTAAGAATTATAAATTTGTAATCCTAATCCGAACTAAAACGGAATTAAATAGGCTATTTCTATAAATCGTTTCTTGAAATTAAATTTCCAAGAATTTTCTTCGTTTTTAGTTGTAAGCAGCTCTTTAAATTGAACTAAAAAGGTATACAATGAATAAGGATACAAAAGAACACCTAAATTAATTACTAGCTTTTGCTATACTGGTTATCGCCTATGTTACTCCCTGGTAATGTAGCTTTCCATTGGTGAAAGAATTCTAAAAAATCGGTTTAGTGGTTTAAGCGTGAAAGCGTAACAAACAAACTGACTTTCACATTTATAATACAAAGTATGGATTAATATTTTTTAATTAACCACAAACGAGGGGTGTTATTAGTTTAACCTGTGTATCTGCATATCTGTCTGTCTGTCTGTGGCATCATAGCTCCCGAACGGATGGACCAATTTCTAAATTTAAAATTTATAATAAATTTTAATGATCATCAGCTCACTTCCTAGGTGATGAAAGGATTTCATTAAAATCCACAGATCAGTTGGTGATCTGAAATCTGGTATACTGTTACTTTGATGGTATTTACACGACATGGTAACCTGGAACTTGCTGCTGCATCAAGTAGTCTGCAGGATAGCCAACTCCTCAGAGAAAATTACAACATATACTCGTATACCATGTTTGGGCTTATTAGAACAGTCTCAATAGGCAGTTGTTGTCATTTACTGAATTTCTTAATCTTTTTAGTTCAGTTAAGGCTGATTTATCATGTGGATTATTGAATAGTTTTCGTTGGTCTAACAATTTCTTAAATTATCTTTTTTGTGTCGGGGGTTTTTTATTTTTTTTAAATTAATTGTTATCTTATTACAAGCCGGACTTTTCTCGGCGAAATATGTTAGACTGTCAACTAAATAAAACACCATGGAACTACACAATGATTTAAATAAATTTCATGCCTTCCCTTTTTTAATTTTTCTAGAACTATTTGTGTTCATTGTCTCTTCTCTTTTCGTCAATTTATCAGTATCTGCAAAAGACAGATACATCAGAAACGTTACATTTCTTTATTACCAGACTGAAATTGAAGTTAGTTTTATGTTTTAATACTAAGGCAGTTTTTTTGTTAACGGGTGGAAGATCCTGATGGATGTTCTCCGCCCTGTCCGGGCGAAGGGGTCTGTCGGACTCTTACAGACTCTTACCGACTAAAAACCACCTGTGTACCTCTCTTTGCCAATGCATTCTTCGCCATACGACTAAGGCCCTAGACTGCTTGTTTAATTTACCTGATCTACAAGTAATATATCTCACAGTATACGCAAGAAATGCATTAACAGTTTTTCATATTTCAGTTCTGTGTAGCGAATATATCGGAAATCTTATGTTGATTATGTGAACACAGTCAATGTAGATATTATTGAAATAGAAAACTTTTAAACATTCGCACTGAATGCTGCTTCAAGATGTGATACGTTGGCAATAATATCAAGATTTCAAATGGTAATTGTTCATATAACATAATTTGTGTATATTATCTTTTTCTGTACTTTACTACTACAGTAAAAGTGACCGTTTTTTTTGAGTAACTAATTGACTAAAAATTGTATTTTATGGCTTTCTTTTAAGTTTTACGGCAAACAAGGAAGCGTGGATGTTACTAATAAAAATTAATAAAGTGTGTGTTCATCCAATACTAAAAGCTATTTCCGTCCATTTTCTCACATTTATTAGCGTGATTTCAGAAAAATTCAAACTTTTAGTTCTGTGTTAAAGTGACACCACTAATCCAAGCATTCTAATATTATCTTATAAAACTTAGCCGCCGCAGTTATATTTGAATGATCAGTAACTGAATAAGTTTCTTGAAAGTTTACTGGGAGCTTACGAAATTAAGAAAAAAGGTATAGGTATTTTAGGGTTGAGGACTGTGTATGTAAGTTTTTAAAATATGATAAATATATTAGTACAAAAAATAGCTTTTAAGGTACCTTGTTTTACTATAGATAGACAAGCAGTTTGTGATATTCTGTATTAGTTGAATATCAAAATTCTCTCAAAGCTACTACCGGAACACTATAGGTATACTTATATAATACTTACAGCTGTAGAAAGTGATCAAATTATCATAACGATGTATTTGGAGTCAACAGAGAGACAACGACTTTTGTAAACTACACACTACTGCTGTGTGCAGTACACATCCAAGCCCAATAAAATCCAATCCCAAACTGTCTTCTGACTAATTGATTTAATTTTGCGTTAACATTATTAATCTCTTTTCGCTCCTTTTCTCCGAAACAGAATCTTCTCATCTCTGCCAGTTGCACCAATTTTTTTATGTAGGTAGTTGATTTCAAATAATAGTTCTTTCCAACGTAGACAATTATATCTAATGAGTAATGATACACCTGGTTGCTCTGTAAAATCTAAAACATAAACACTCCATTACATGATGAAAGTAGGGATTCAAAATTAGAAATAAATTTATTGCGCCATAGTTTGAAACATTAAGAGAGCTTTGTGTTTCGTAAAGATGCTTTTCGAAGTTCGTTGGTTGCCATGGGAGCTAGTAAATTCTTTTAAGAAAGGGAGCCTTGGGCGATTAAATCAAGAGCTTGGTAATCCTGTGTAAATCAAATATATTGTAGTATATTAGCATAATGTAAATAAATAAAATCTGTATGACACTTTTCACGTGTAACAATAATATTTTACACATTACTTACATATTATTATAGACTAGCTGAGACCCGCGGTGTTACCCGCGTTTGTTTTTATAACCGCAGCAACGCCGCGAGGCGAAGCTAGTCTAAAAAAAGTAGCCTAAGTTACTCCTTATGTCATCAGCTATCTGCCAGTGAAGTCCCGTCGAAATCGGTCCAGCCGTTCCAGAGATTACCTGGAACAAACAGACAGACAGACAGACAAAAATTGTAAAAAATGTTATTTTGGCATATGTACCGTGTAGACATACATATGCATTTAGTAAAAAGCGGTTATTTTAATATTACAAACAGACACTCCAATTTTATTTATTTGTATAGACTAGCCGACCTGCCCAACTTCGACTGCGTCTCTCAAAGTTTCCCCATTTTTGCAACATATTTCATTGGCTCCTATTAGTCGTAGCGTGACGTTACATAGCCTTTAGCCTTCCTTAATAAGCCCTTATAAATACTATCAAACACAAAAAGGATTTTTCAATTCTAACTAGTAGCTCCTGAGAGCGCGTTCAGCTAAACGAACTCACTAAACTAAAAATGCTCGTGTTCATTACATAATAATGTGTCCTGGGTGGGAATCGGACCAACGACCACCGGCTTAGCAGTCAGGGTTACTAACCAAAACCCACAGACCCGTCATGTGCTTTGTTAACACTCCTATGTACAAAAAATTGATAGGTTATATAGGTACTTGTTTTGCAAAGCAACATTGAAAGTGCAATTGCATTTAGGTAGTTCGGTTCGTAACGTAAGCTTACTTTACCTAAAAAATGCCTAAATAAAAAAAATGATGGTATTTAAGCAGAGCAATAATTTTAAACAAAGTTCATAGGGTATTTGGCGATTTAATTTCATTAAATTTTATTAAATATATATCACAATAACAATATTATAAAGGCGAAAGTTTGTGTGTGTTTGTTACTTATTCACGCTCAAACGGCTGCACCAATCTTAATTAAAAAAATTATGAAGGTAGCTGACACCCTGGATTAACACCTTGGCTACTATTTATCCCGAAAACGTAGTGATCCCGTGGGATGAGCATGGAATTGAAATATATTTGATGAACTGGGGTTAACACCGCGCGGCGGTGTGTGTGGGCGGGGGGTTATTAATAAGTTGTCAACTCCTACTTACTATTTATTGCGCATTAGCGAAATCACATTTTATTTTAAATGATTAACACCTGAAATACATGTAAAACCAATAGATAGATACTCGATACTTTAATTAAAACAATTAAAATTGGCCTCATTAATTGGAATGAATACTATTACTTTACTCTATCCTTCAAAAAATGTAATTAATAATAATTTAATATTCAATTAAGCAATGTTGAGATGCTTTGATTAAAGGTATGTTTTGTTACAGTCTTTGGAGGCGGGTCTGAGCAAAGACTCTGACCTCGGCGAGCGTACGCAGAATCTGTGCGACGCGTGGCGACGCATTCACAGTCTGTGCGCACACTCTGCAGCCTCCACACATCCACATCTGCTGAGCTGGCTGCAGAGGCACACTGCGAGGACTATACTACAGGTAAAATACTACAGTCACAGCATTAGTTTTCGGACAATTTACAGTCTATCGAAAATAGTCAAAACGTAGTCCAGCTCGACCGGAGTGATACCAGGCTTCACATAAAACCGGTTTTAAGTATTTATTTCGTTGCTTTTTGATTCGGAAGCTATTCCAAGGGCGGCAAGGCTGCTGATGTCACTGGGCGGCAGTAGTCAACTTTACACATCTCACACACGACCGTCTGATCCCAAACTAGGCAGAGCCTGTACTATGGTAAACAGACTGCTGATGAACATACTGTATACTCGTACTTCTAAATACATATTATAGATAAATTACACCCAGACACAACAAATGATCATGCTCCGCACAATTATTTGTCTTGGGGTGGGAATCGAGCCCACGACCTCTGGCTCAGTAGTGAGGATCACTAGCTACTAGACCAACGGGCCCGTCAGGTACTTCACCTGTCTGCATGTTTGTCCATATAAAACAACAAAATTAAATGACATTCGTAAATTGTTCATGGGCCTGACGCTTTTCTTAATATTCCAAATTAGCCATACGATGTCGAAATCAACTCACATCAAACTATAAAAAAGAATATAAGTCATTAAGGTGTATACGCCATTATTATTTTAATACATCAATTAATCCAACACAAATGGGTCTTCCCTATAATACAATTAGATAAGGTTATAATTGTTGCAGAATCCATTCAGGCACAACACAATGGAAGCCATTGAATGATATAGTTGTTATCAAACAATTATATAGTTATGTACACAATAGATAAGGTGCCCTTTATATGACACTAGTAGTAGTAGGAGTATTAAACTCTTATTTACAAATTGTTGATTCATTAGCTATTGGATGTTTAGTCTTTATCTCTTGAATCATCATCATCAACAGCCTTTACTAGTCCACTGCTGGACATAGGCCTCTCCTTAGAAAGGAGGTTTTGCCTACAGCACCACGCTGGCTAGACTTGTTGGTGGATAAGTTTGTCTTCTCTTTGGAGTGCTGCTGTTCTGCGTGGTGTACTCCCTTAGTCGGCTCTTACGACACCCACGGGATGAATAGGGGTAGTGATACTCTGTATTCTTAATCCATCACCACATGAATTAATCACCTGGATAGGGTTATCAAATCGCCTGTTTCTAGAACAAAAAAGAAAACGACCCCCGATAAATATGCCATCAAACCAACTTTGGAGCATACATTCAAATAGTATTTGATTGTTGATTACTAATTTCAGAATTTTATGTTTTATTAACTTCAGTTATAACTATGTAGACAAATCGTAGCAGTAAATTTTTATCTCTTGTTAATTGCTGTACTTAAATCAAAGTCCATATCTATACTACTAATATTATAAAGAGGTACCAAAGTTTATGATTTTGTATGTTCGGGGATTACCTTTCAAAATCAGGTTTTGAAACTCTTTCAAAGTTAAAAGTTTATATTAGTCCTGAGAGCTATAAACTACTTTTTACCACGATAACCGTGGCAAAAAAACAACGCTGGCAAAAACTAGTATTATATAAAGTAGTTCGGATGAAAAAACTATAATTTGTCATCGTGTTGCTGACCTGATAATACCATTACTTCAGCTACCGAGCTAGTAGTTCCATATATTGCTGTAATTCTTTAGTGCTTACTTATCAGAACCATGAATTTGGACTTGAGATTAGTTTCGACATGTCTCAAATATTGGGGTTTTATGTAAACATTGAAATTATATTCAATAAAAGATTTTTTTGATTCACCTAGGTTTATGGCAAACTGTAACTATATTTATAGAAACTATTTATAAAGAAATATTAAGTATTAAAATAAATCTGACCCTCGCTCTGACAACTCTAGACTACTGTAGCTTTAATACACCTAGACTACCCATTGTTTCTTCTTATCTACTGCCGATTTGCCCATCCAAAGGTGGCCTGTAAGAAATTGCTTTTAGCAGTAAGGACGCCCATTGTTTATTGGTGTACAATAAAGCATATTATATTCTACTTAATAGGAGAAATATTACACTTCACCAGGGCTTTAATTCTGCTATTTTATGTTAACGCCTCAAGCTACTGTCATTCCATTGACACGCTACTGAGATGCCTCTGACAGCTGTCAAAATATCGGTATTCTACAATCATAATTTCAGTGTCAATAGACTGGCGATAGTAACATAGGTCAAAAATGGTGATATCGAACATTGCCATATCATATAAATTAAATATATCATTTTCTTACAAATTTAAAATATACCCAATTTACCAAACTATTACAAAGACACCGACGACATTTGTATCAGTGAAAAGTCATCGGAAGGCCTTTGGTCTTACATAGTTAGTAGAATATGAAAAGTGCAAAGTTCCGAGGACATTCCATCGACAGTCTATTGATACAATATTAAAATAGCAGAATTGATAAGATGCAGATACAATATTAAAATGGCATCACTATACTATACTACATACATATACTACTACTATAGTAGGCAAAAACCTCCATTCTAAGAAGAGCTCTAGGTGTTACTGACTGTTAAAGGCTGTTGATGACTAACTACTAGTCAAAATTTTATCGTTTCCTCCTTTTGTCCTCAACAGACAGAATGGCAGGACCCAGAAAATAAAAATGAACACAAACGCCTGGAAGAGGCTATAGACGATTTCATTAAAGAGAGTCAATCCAGTAAAGATGGGGATCCACCATGGAAGACTCAGTTGGTCGCGCGAGGGCACTGGTTTAAGCGTATATTGGCCAATCCCTGGGGACATCCGGTGCTCAGGGTACTCTTGGATTCAAAGAGGAAAGAATCACCGAAGGATGAAGAAAGTAAGTTTAAAAAATAATAGTATAGCTTTATTATTAAAGAATTTAATTTAGGACCTGATTGTTATAAATGTAATATAAAAATTAAACTACATTGTAGAATACTTTCGAGACATACCAAGTCTAAAAATAAATTAAAAACCATTATTAATGTTTTACGTGAAAAATATATCACTTGCAAGCAAAAACATATATTTTTCCACAAAATTAAAGTAGTAAAGAAAAAAGAACTCTTCTATTAAAATCTAGGCTAACAAATTAAATAATAATAATATGTTTATTGCAATATTTGATTTCTATACATAACACTCTTAAAATTCTCTAATTTCAGTATTAGAATGGCTGAAGGAAGAGCGCGGCGTTATGTTCGTCACGCGGTTAAGGCAGCTAGCATCGTCAAAAGACTGCAAAGACTTAGCGCTAGAGCTCGCCTCCAGCATTTTGGACAGGGTGCGGGCATGTTTGGACCCACCCATAGACGACCAGGCCGATGAACCTAAAGGTTAATTTGAACCTTAATTTTAAAAACGTTTTGACGTATAAACTTCGTTGTATAAACTGACACTGACACTTTCTACCCTACCCTTTCAGTCAGTGGTCGAATCTTGAGAATCTTTTTCCAATGCTTTGGATGTAGACGACGTAAGACAACTCTTTTGATTCATTCGTCATCAGATTCCTCACACTCATGACAGTGATAGTGTTTATTAATAATTTAATTCATATTTTAAATTTATTACGCACATTTGAATAGCTAACTGGATTTTGCATTGCTGTAAAACAAATTCTTTGTTTCTAAAGTCATCGATTTTAAAGGTGATTATTTTTTTACAGAAAAGCCAAAGAATACCGGTGAACTGACGTTCATGGATATTCTAAAGGCTGAAGCGGGATTCACGGTCGATGTGCTGGAGTTGCTCACAGATATTGAGTTTGTGTTGCTGCACAAACGAGACAATGTCACGCGGTGTATTGAGCTGGTAACTACAATTATTATTTCTTATGTGATGCTAATGTTTAGTTTATAATCTACATCTGAACTTTGCTTTGGCTCGACCGGAGTGATGCCACGACCTGCACAACCCCCACCCTCTTCCCTAATTGGCGGGTTATTTGAGCTGCAGGTGTAGTATTCACGGCCGTCCAGGCACATCAGTTGACCTGTCTGCTGGTTTGCCTCCTATGCCTTAGAAATAGAGTTTACTTAAGGCATAAGTAATTAGGTAATATTGCAGACCCTCCTATGCTATCCAACTCATCGCAGTCATATTTTTTTTATGTCAGTCTGATCAATATAGTCGTCGCACAAGTCACGCATATCAATAATCCAAATAAAGCAAAAAGAATAATCACCGTTGGAACTAAAACAACGGTCATATATAGACCAGTCACATTCACATTCCACTTTTGACACCAAGTTATATTCTACTACGATGTTGCGTTGTGGTTATAAACAAAATATCTTCTTAGGTTGATTTGTATTATATTATAATAAAATCAGAACGTTACAGATAAACTTTAGTTACTTTACAGTATCGCAGACAGCAGAGCAATGTATTTTAGTGACGTGACATTATAATCTACTAAAGTAGTGATGTTACAACAGAAAAAAGTAAAAAATTTGTCAGTTTTCGGTTCAATTCGATCGCAATGCTAAAAAGGAAAATATACGATTGTATTATCTAAATATTCCCTAGGTGTTTAGCCAAAACTTTTTGAAATGATACACATTACACCACTAAATAAAATTGGAATTTAATTTTCATTAATCATGATAGTGTTGATGAGTGATGTAGCCTAGTTTTTTTCCAAATATTTCATGTTGGTTTTTTGTTTAGGCAAAGCAAACGCCTCTTCGAAACGGGTACCAATTAGTGGAGAGGTTGCAGAGCCGGCAGGAGACGTCGCCTCGCGAAAAGAAATTGTGGAAAAATGCCAAAGATGTCGCTACGCTTATTGCGCAGGTCAGATCTCAAGAAAGTGTTCTTTGTTAAACCATAAAATACTTACTCACCGACGTGACCGACGCGCCTTAAGAAGTTTTCACTTCAAAAAAATGAAAGGTTTTAAAAGATGACAAAAGTATGTGTATCAGACCGTGACGGTGTGGTCCCGCAGGTGGTGATCGCGCGCTGCATGGTGGTGGGCGTGTGCGCGGGCGTGTCGCGCACGGCGCTGTACTGCTGCGCGCGCTCGCTGGCGCGGCTGCTGGGCGGCGCGCGCCTGGCGCCGCAGGCCGCCGCGCTCGCCGCGCCCGCCGCCACCGCGCGGCACCTGCACACGCTCGCGCTCGCCGTCGACTCGGAGGTGAGGCTTCACTCCTGGAACCCGACTAGCTTAGGGTCGCCCGTCTACTACGATATGCCTGAACTTTGGCTGATTTCTTTATGTAGAGCGACCGCCGTCAGACCTCCGCACCCGTACTTAGGACTCCGACTACCCGTAACGATTGCCATAGATGTTCCGCAGCCTGACCTGGCTAGGATCGCTTAACTTTGCGATGTTTTAACTTACGGTTACCGCTTAGCCACGAGCCCCACGGTCCTAATTTAAAATGTATTCAAAATGCCTTAAAAATATGTACTCGGCAACGATTCATCAATTAGACTTCGTTTATTTTCATATCCTCAACGACTTAATTTCAGAATCGGAATCGATTTTGTTAATAATATAACCGTGGGATAGCCATACTTCGGGCAGTTCCGACTCGATCGGAATAATCGAAAATCGATGTAAAAAGTCTTTCATTGCTTTTCACCGAGTGAATACAGTTACCGAAGACCCAACCTCAGGTACTTGAAGGATGTCAACACACTTGTGCCTCTTGAATTGAAACTGTCTATGAGTGTCGATGGTTACTTACCATCGAATGAGTGTCTGCTCGTTTTGCCACCTATACCAAGAAAAGAACGAAATCAAAAATTGAGTAGCTTACGCACCGCCCTAGCAGCAGCGTCGCAAGAACTGCAAAAAATCTCTTCAAACGCTTTACGTTTTGAAGTCAACCAAAATTAAATAAATTATAACGTCATATTCATTATACAAGTGTTAAATAAATAAATCTTATATATATTATAATTCCTTTATTAAGATTAACTTTAGATGCCGGCAACTAGTGATTCCTATGTTGCAGGCGCTCATTAACGGGCGGAGGTACACTTTCCATTAGATGACCCGTCTGATCTTTTACCTCCTACATCATGAAAAACTACCTAAATATCAATGTCTCTTGATCTTTTCAGAGTTCAGACGACATGAAGCCTTTTGTGTGTGAATTATACGTGCGTGCAATTACTGCAGGCATGAATGAACTAGAAAGACTGAAACTTAATGCTGATAAGGTAAGTACTTATGACTATAGTAGTAGTAATTAAGTTAAATTTAATCCGATTTCGTAAATCATAATAAAATACATAATTGTTCCTAAACATGAAAGGTCATGTAATATAAGAAATACATGGTCTTTCGAGCCGGGCACAATAAGACAAAAAGAGGGGAAATGTTACAAATTTACACATTTGAAATAAATTACTCTATTCAAATATTACTTATAACACTAATTTATGAAGTTAAGCTAGTAAAGTATGAATTTTTAGCATTGTAAACAATGCCAATGAGTTTGTATCATCTCTTTTACGTCACTGTACCACATGTATAAAGCTTAAAAAGACTTTCTTTACACGCTTTCAGGAGTCAGAAGCCCGTTCTTCTGAGCAAACACTATCCCAGTGGTTCGTCCAACTGGGTGCGGTGTTAGCAGCGAGCGAGCGCATGCGCTGTGAATGTACACTCACTGCGTTCTCGGTGCATCCCTCGCCCGCTATGTACGAAAAAATAAAGGCTGCGCCTGCCTTACCGCCTGTCGCGCTGGTGAGTCTTACTGCTAACGAACTATTATATATATAAGATAACGCCGAGTAGTATTGTTTATAACAAGTGTTATTATTTCAAAGAAAATTTATAACGAGTCGAGTCGTACACATTTTATTAACAAAATTATGAGTATATCAAAGTTAATATGTACCTATATTATTATTGTATATTATTCTAGATATTGCACTTCATTATTATAGGGGCAATAATTTCTACATAACTTTATACTCTACTTAACTAACCTACAAGTATATCTTCTGACTTTCCAGGATATAGAACCTAAAGCAGAACAGACCACATCCGAATTCGGAAGTTGGGCTAGCGATAGTCGTTCGCAAACGAACTTCGTGAAGACCTCTCAAACTCTCAAACTTAAACATACCCAACAGCGGGCTAACGTGCTGTCTATTGCTATCCTCAATGAAGGAGAAGCCTTACATCTTAGTCCTGAACTGTGTCAGGACATTGCTGTATTATTGTCTGGACCACGAGTTAAGACGCTTTCTTGGGATATGAACAGGTAAATGTTGCAAAAAAAAAAAACAATAAAAATAAAGATCTGGAATTCTAAAAAGCATTTCTAAGGGGTTGATCGATCAAGATGGATCGATCGCCTTAACAGATTTTTATATTTGCTCGTGTTCTATTGTTGTGTTAGGTTGTTTTTGTTAGATGAAAATTCGAGGTTTTGTGACAAAAATGTTTAAATATGACCTAGCCTATATACCACCACCACCACGGGATGAATTGGGGTGGTGCCTATTGTCACCACCCCAATTCATCCCGTGGGTGTCGTAAGAGCCGACTAAGGGAGCAAACTACGCAGGACAACAGCACTGCAGAGAGAAGGAAAACTTGACACAAACCTTATACCAACCCGTCTGGCCAGCGTGGTATATTAGGCCAAAATCTCCTTTCTAAGGAGAAGCCTATGTCCAGCAGTGGACTAGTATAGGCTGTTGATGAGCCTATATACCATAGAATAGACCTAGAAATTCGGAGCCTATTCATGTGACTAACATAGGTGCCCACCATCCCGATCATCCTTGTCAGAGCTAGTCACGTTTGTACCACTCACCCTCTCAACTCCTCCCCCTCCATATTTTACTTTAAACAGCGGTTGCGAAATTACCTTTATTTCCATTTAAATTGTTTTTCAATAAAATCAACATTATTCCAACATTTACAAAATCAACATCAAATCAAACAAAATTTAGAGGAGCATAACTGTATCTAGTCACAGAAAATCTGTAGTTGTATCTGTATCATCACTAATATGTTTATGATTCGAATGCATTCCTCCACTGGAGCTATTGTTGGGTATATATATTACTATTCAAATAGTATAATAGCGACTTAAATGATTACAGGCAGTTGCTCCTAGAGAATTGCCGCACGTACATGGAACGCACGCACTTTGGTACGCGTGCACTCACTACTGAGCTAAAGTACCTCAACCTTGACCTCCGACAGTACCAACACTTGCCCGAGGAGGAAGAAGACGACAGTGATATATACTACGGCATCGAGAAAGGTAAAGATAGTAAATCACTTCTTATGTTACGAAATGAAAATGGCCCTGGAGGCCAATATTTAATTTATCTAGTAAATACTAGACTGCTATTTTTATTGTAATTATTTTTGCTGAAATCAGCGAATATAAGTACAGTTAAAATAGGCCAATTGCGTTAAGAAAATAGTGACGCATCGATTTTCTTGACGCGAATAGACTATAGTTATTTAACTTTGGCTGCAGGTCTCTTAAGAGAGCCTAAAAAGGGCGAAATAGGAGCACATCAGCTGGGTCGGTGAGAGACTAGTGAGACTTCTTTCTAGAACTCGTGCATTCTGGTCTCTTGCCAAGGGAATTCTGGTGTCCCACAAGGCTGTGTGCTATCACCAACACTGTTTTTTTTTGCATATCAATGACATGTTGCAAACTAGTAGAATCCATTGCTATGCAGATTATAGCACGGGAGGTGCTAACGTCATCGAGAGTCCAGTCGAGTGCGTTCACCGCAAAAAAGATACCATTTGCCGTATCACCTCAGTTTGAGAGCACCTCCCTAACTGCCTTAGCCAGCATCGGCATCCTGGGCATCGACATATCGAGCGAAGTCCAGTTTCGGGGTCACTTAGAGGGTAAGATCAAATTGGCCTCGAAGAAGCTCGGTGTGCTGAACAGATAGAGGCAGTATTTTACTCCGGCCCACCGCCTTCAGCTCTATGAGGCGCAAGACCGGCCGCATATGGAATACTGTTCTCATAGAGATGCAGGGGCACCTCAGTAGCAGCTTCTCGTCGTAGTTGGCGCTCTACTACTGTGCGCTTTTCGAGACACTTTTTGCCCCGCACAACCAATCTGTAGAACGGGTTATCGTCTGCGGTATTTCCGGACCGATACGACCTTCAAATCCTCAAGAAAAGAGCGTACTCCTTCCTAAAAGGCCGGCAACGCGTCTGTGACTCCTGAGTTGTAGGCGTTCATGGGTGGCGATGGTCACTTTCCATCAGGCGACACGTATGCTCGTCTGGCCCCGATAACATAAAAAAAAAGTTTGTTTTAACCTATGGTTTATCTCACTATTTACGTCATATCCCGAGAATTTTGTATATGTGGTATGAGGGTTAAAAATGCGACGAAGTGTGCTTCGAGAAAAGGTAAGGTAGTGCCATCATCACAACAGGGTCCACCATATTACTAATAAAATAAATAACTAATAAATATTTACTGTTCTTTATGGATGATGTGTTTTAATTACAGGCTATGAACATTTAGTAGAATTTCAAGAACCCGAAGAGATTTGGCAAGATGCCGATGACTCCGAACGGACTGAAACTGCGAATACAACAGATATAGAAACAGAAATAGGGGTTACACAATCCAAAAAGAAATCAAAGAAAACTTTGATTACTTCTGAGGAAGACAAAGATCCGCTTAGCGCCGTAGCAGAAGCTAAACGAGTTCTGAAGAAAAAAGAAAGACCACATAGTAAAGAGCGGAGTAGAGCACCTAAACTAAAAATGAAATTAAATTTAAAAGATCCGTTAGAAATTGATGATCACAGTGCTGAGAAAACAGCAGATCATAGTACTGAAAAGACGAAAACTGGTGTTGTTAATAGAATGAAAGATCATATCAATGATAGAACAGAAAGTCATAGCAATGATAGAACAAAAGATGATAGCAATGATAGAACGAAACATCATATAAATGATAACATTAAAGCCCATAGCACTGAAAGGCAGAAAAGCAACACCAGAGATAATAGTAATCACAGGAGAAAAGGTCACACACTTGACAAGAAAAAAGATGGCAATAGTCAGATAAATAAACATAAGAGTATGCAGATAAATATAGAGAAGGACCACACTAAGCAAATAATCATAGGTCAAAATACTCAGCTACAGAAGGACCCAGCTACAGCTGACAAAAAGAAAGAACGGAAAAGGGAGCCTAAGAACAAAGATATGAACAAAGTTAAGAAGGAACGAAAGCGGAAAGAACAGGCTGTAATTCTTGAACATAGGCCTTCTCCCTTATCTAGTCTTATTGGTATGAAAGTGGCAAAAATTGGTGATAGGAATAAACCTCTCTCGTCAACTGTAACTGACAGTAATTACGATAGTCAAGGCAAATCGTCTATTAATGCCTTACTTTCAGAAGGAAATGAAAGTAATGTATTGTTTGATGGACTGTTTTCTATGGATGAATTAAAGTCTCCTGAGAAAATCCCGGACAAAACTGAGACAGGTACTGTGAACAGTAGTGTAACTAATATGTCAAATGGACCAGTAAGTGTTATTGCTGACAAAAAGAAAATTGACGGCTACAGAGTACCTTCACTTACCCTTAACAGCACTATTCCGGCTCAGCCAAAATTAAGAACAGTTAATGAAGATGTCAAGAAAAGTATAACTAAATTAATACAGTTTAGACGGCAAAAAGCTGCAACTGAAAGCCTAGAACAAATAAACCTAATGTCTCCTCCTAATTATCAGACATACAGTAATAAAAATTTAAAACAGCCATTCCCGCAGCAGACCCCACAGGTACAATTGAATGACATTTCTAAAGTATATGTAAGGAAGTCCGATCCAGAGCAACTCGACGTCAGAAGTGAAGTTAGTAGCAACATCCTAACTAATAAGGAATTTAGATCTTCACCCAATAAACCGAGCAACCTGGTACAGACACAACTTCTCCACAACAATCCTAGTGGAATGAAAACAAATTCTACATTAGATAAAGAACTTGTGCAGAAACCCAGTACAAGTAAAGAGGTAAAAACTAGTGTGCAAACTACTGAAATAGCAAATAAACATATTGCAATTCCAAGTACAGATCCACCAACACCTGCACAAAGCAATCAAAACAATTTTCACGATTTTTTAAAGGATTTGCAGACGTCGATAAACGCAGGTGCCGGTGGTCAAAGTGGCTGTGCTACGCAATCGAAAAAAGAAGTTAAACAAACGAACAACATGAGCCCGGTATTGCCAAAGCCTGAATCTAAAATGACTCAAAGTGCCAAACAAACATTAAAAAAGCCAGCCCTTGCGCTTAATACATTCTCACGGCTTAGTTACTATAAAAACAATAAAAATGAAATAAAAACAAAGGAGTATGTAGAATTTGTGACAGAACACCAGGCCCAACAGTTACAAAGAAGGCCACTTTTAGCAGATTTTGACAGGGTCATTGCACAACAAAGACAAACTAAAGTGAAGTATTTGCGGGCTACGGGTGAAGCAGTCAAAACCCAAAAACCTATTGAAAATACTCAAAAAATGATAAAAAATATGTCATGTAAATCTCAAGAGCACTTTTTAATGACTAGTTTACTTCAAAGTAGTCCTATTTCAATAAAAACACCGGATAAGCAAAATACCCCAGTAAATAAAGATAAACCAAGGGCTACAACTCCAGTACCAAACAAATTATCTAGTTTGACAGAAAAGGACCAACAAGATATAGTGCTTTTACTTAGACAACAGAGTAAACAGAATTTAACTCGACCGAAGCTTGAAACTTTGCAGGAAGTACAACCTCTGCAAACTAATACCAGCAGTACACCGCCCACTGGCAATGCAACTAATTTACAGAAGGAAAAAGGATTGGATTCTAAATCTATAATAATAAAAAATCCTAGTGTTGCAAAATCGAGTGCATGCATAAAACCATCAAAAGATAAAAGGTCAGTCACTAAGCCTAGTATATTAAGAAGTGAACAGTCAGCTAGAAAACATCTGAATAAGAAAGAAAATACAAAAAAAGCTACTGAGAATAAAAATAGCCCGGCTAAAAAACAACAGGAGGCAGGCAAGCAGACCGATTGGGAAAGCGTTATGGATGCTCTTCTCAAGCATAAGACTCCAAGTCGAGGTCCAAACGCTTTGGATATGGCATTGAATAAAGAAGCTTACCTAAGTGCTTATGAAGACAGCCTTAAAAATCAAAGGTCGAGGAAATCACCATCTCGTTCTAACACAGAGTCAGTAAAGTCTACAAATGAATCACATACAAACGATACAAAAGCTCAGACGGAAGCAGTTATTGACCAGAGTGGTCTTTGTACTAATTCACTTAGAAAACCGAATAAAGACATAAAAGATAAAATGTGCAAACAGACATCTAAGGCTCACAGTTCGTCTTCCAAACTAGACGCGTCAAAGGAAAATGTAACAACTGCACCAAAAAAGTTACACTCAGATTTGAGAAAGCAACAATTTACTTGTCCGTTACCTCAAGAAGATGATCCATTCATATCTGGAAACCTTGATTCCGATTATGATTTGTTGCATGAATTAATAGATGATGATCTAAGACAGGAAATTGGAGAATTATTATCAGACGATGATTGCTACACTACACCTGGTCCATGTTTGAAAGATGCTAAGTCATTTATGGCATTAAATAAAACTATAACGCCAACTGTACATGAAACTAACCAGACCATGGCTACTACGTTATTAAATACGAGTTCGACTAAACCTAATATAACGACACCTGAACAAAAATTACCTTGCCAAGATGTGCCAAAATCAGCTTTTGATACAGGGATATCAGCTCAACCACCTGGATACATAAATGTGAAATCTGTGATTAATCATACTGAACATTCCAAAGTACACACGACCGTTCACAGTATAAATAATGTTCTGGGCATAACAGCTCAACCACCTTCTGGATACATAAATGTAAAACCTGCTACTAACCAAACTGAACATCCTAAAGTACAAACAATACACAGTGTAAATAATGTTCAAAGGACAAATACAATACATCAGTTACCAAAGTCGATTATCATGCCGCCAAAGAAAGAACAGAATTATATCAGTACTGTTACAACTGTGGACCCAACATTTGTAGCTCTGCCCCAGCAAACCAATCTTCAAAATGTTGTACTTATTGGTTCAGATTTGGTCTACCAACCATGTGTCCAAGCTCCTTTGCATACTGGATTAGCACAAAATACATATGTGACTTTTAATACTCGGCCAAATATAGCCGTATATCAAACTACACAGTTTGCTGCACCCCTTGTGAATCCCTTAATAATAGGGAATGCTTTGACATCACCTGCAGTACCTTTAGCTGTACCGACCGTTAAAAAAGTACATTCAATTTCGAAAAATGCCCAAGAAGTTAATCATCCACCACTGCATAAAGATCTGACACAAAATGAGGTGAAAAAGCCTGGAACTGAGGCTAAAGAACACGCCAGAAATTCTTTGGATCATTTAACACAAGATCTGATACAAAATGGGGTCAAAAAGCTTGGAACTGATGCGAAAGTAGACGCCAATAATTCTTTGGATCATTTCACACAAGATGATATTGCTACCAAAGAAAAAAATGACATTAATTCCAATAAAAATTGTGAAAGAAAAGTATTATCAGAAGTTCAGGAGAAACAAAAGATAGTTTTTGTAGAAAAATCAAGTGCTGATTCGAAGACCATTAAAACCCAGAAGGTATCATCCGACCATAATATCAAGCAAACTGCTGATCTTGAAAGACTACATAAAAAGCGAATGGCCATTTTAAATAGGAATATTTGTCATAAAATTGATAAATCGCCAATTCCTTTGACTTACATACCGCTGAAACCCAAAATATCTGAAGTAGCGAAAATGCAGGAAAAACAACATCATTTAAGAAGTAAAGTTACAGTTGTTAACAACAAAACCAGTGATATGACCATAAAGCTGGAATCCCTAGTTAATCCTAATATTAAAACTTTTGTGGCACCAGAACAATTAAATGTAAAAGAAAAAGACACAAATGAAAATTGCAAAGAGAATAAAAATAAAGAACGTCGTATTTTACTACGATCTTCAAATAAAGGAAATTCAAAAATCGTGGATCCTTCGAGTCCAAAACCAGTCATTAAGAAAAATAAAGTTAGGCTTAAAGTTACTTCTGACAGCGCAGAGTCAAAAGAAAGTAAACCAGAAGAAAAAACAAATAGTGTAATAAAAAAGCGAACACCAAAGAGGTTATTAAATAAAACTATTAAGATGGTTATGAAAAAAAGAATAACTAGACAAACTAGAAAAAATAAAAGTATCTTAAATAGCAATACCGAAGAAAAACTGGATGCTGTTGTTGTCGTTGCAGACACAAATAAAACAAATGACACTATTGCACCCGTCGATGGAAACCTCGAAATTATGGATAACATTTTGGATATAGAAGAGCAGATAATTGGGTCAATGATTTTGAAAAAGGGTTCTGTAGGCGCCGATCCTAACGCCTTGAACGAAAGCGATAACTGTATAGTCGTTAAACCAACGGAAGTATCAAATAACAGTCAGCCTGAAGACTCAAATACTATTTCATGTTCAAATCTAACGTCTCTTGACAAAGTTATTAATCCAGAAACTGAAAAGAATGTACATGAAGACAGTTCTGCACCAAGTCATAACGAACAACCTGAAATATCTAACAAAGATACAACTTTTCAAAAGAAGGCGCCAGAAGTAATTGCCGATTATCATTATAATTTAGATAGAGAATGTCATTCGAGGCGCGATGTTGTCAAAGACGATTCAGATTCTCAACAAAAATTAAAATACCAAAGCAAAAAATCTTCAAATGAAATTTTGGACAATAAAGATAGCGAAACTACAATAGAAACGAATGATAATGAAAAATCAACTGATTTCAATAAAGAAAGTATTAACACTAAAGTTATTGACGATACAGACATTCATGAAACTCCTAAAGTTACTGAAGAAGTGACTAAAGTATTTACGGAAACTACTGCAAAATCAAATGAAAATACCGAAAGAACAGAAGAGCCTGATATCACCAAAGAAAATAGTAAAACAATACCTAAGAGTCACGATGATGATGAAGAAGTTATTTGTCTGGACGATGATCCGAAAAGTGATCATGATAATATTCCTCAAGATTTCTTAGATGCTATAAAAATAGAGGATTTACGCACCCAAGATCCAAATGACCCACTAAAACGATGTGTGCGGATAAAGTTGCCAAATGGAAGGGCCTTTAAAGCTACCGTCCGAGGGCAGTCTAATGTAAACTTTGAAAGTTTATTTGGTGACCCAGCTCTTAGAAAAGTTCTTCTGAAGAATATTTCCAATAAAAATAGGTATACATTAAATATAAAACAGATCTCAACAGCCACTAAATCTCAGCCTGACAAAATATTGGAGACACGAATACAGAAAATTTCTTTACAAACGCCTAAACTTCCTGCCGTTAATTGTTCAGAAACAATTAATTTGCTGAGCGATGACGAAGATGAAAGTTTTGAATATTTTAATACTGAATTTGGCAAGTATAAAGTACCAACTATGCAGAAAAAATTACACGAAATTCATCAGAGAATGTTTGATAAAAAATGTGTTGTTAAATTAAAAAGGGATTCGTTACCGCAAACTCATCCTACGACTCCGCAATTAAATGATGAAAACGAACCTGACATCGAAGTACTCCCGGACCTGCTTACTTTGGAATGCGTGTCTGCGCCTGCTCCTGCTCCATCTGTTACAAAAGCTACAAAGGATTCGTTACCGCAAACTCACCCCACGTCTCCGCAATTCAATGATGAAAAAGAACATGACATCGAAGTACTCCCAGACCTGCTTACTTTGGAATGCGTGCCTGCGCCTGCTCCTGCTCCATCAGTTACAAAAGCTAAGAGGGATTCGTTACCGCAAACTCATCCTACGTCTCCGCAATTGAATGACGAAAAAGAACCTGACATCGAAGGACTTCCGGACCTGCTTACTTCGGAATGCGTTCCTGCGCCTGCTCCAACTCCATCTGTTACAAAAGCTACTTACGAAAGTACAAGTAAAGTAAATACCATGCAATATAAATCATTTGATTCGGAAGTAATTGAACTTGATGATTCATCTAATGACGATCCACACTTTAGATGCAAAGATCTCGTTAAAAGCGATGATAGTGTAAAAAAGTGTGAAGAGAAAATAAAAGAATTAAAAAATCTACTTTTGCAAGACCTAGGAGTTACTAAAATAGATGAAAACTTAACAGAAATTAGTAGTCCCACTAAATTGGTCAATAAAGGGGAGGATATATTAATAGCAAATCCCATTACCGAACTGGATCAAGACAATTTCGAGGAGTTAATTTTACCAGATACCCTATCTAAAGAGTATACAAACAAGTTACCTAATAGTCCTAAAAGTGATGACACAACTATCATAGACAAGTATCCTACATCATTTTTGCCCCTCGCTAGTAATAATTGTTTCGTAAAACTTACTAAATGTGATAACTTAGTAGAAAAATACAACAATTTAAAGTTACTCAAAGGATGCTCTATTAAACTATTCCGTTGTGACGAAAAACCACCCATCTCTACTCCTAAAGACCCTAAATCTGTAATTGATGTTGAAAGTGAGCAATCTTCAACTAATTTTCTTGAAGAAGTTGATATGTTCTCGCAAACGTTATGTCGTAGTGGATCAATTTCAATTCTCAATGATTTTCACTTATTAGATCAACCAATACTCATTGAAAATCATAGCCGAAGCACTTCACCAGTAATGGTTGCATATGACACAATTGCAGCTGTTTGTAATAGGAAGAATGAAGATAAGTATAAGAAGTATGAAAAATGGACATGTGAGACAGAATGGTTCCTATCTAAATCTTTAATTCATTTGCAAATTAGAAAGTATATTAGTGTCAATGGGAATATCACTTCAAATACCGTTTGCAATAGACCGACAGTCCCCAAAGTCGATGTACCTAACCTGATCACTATATTAACCAAACATTTTCAAGATGAAGATATCATAGATAGGTATTTATCAGTATCTTATACAAGTTCAGTTAAAAATCTGAAGAGAAAGTGCGTAGAAAGTTTTCCAAAGGCGTACAGAATGGCCAAAAAAAGTAGAAACACAAGTACTGAACTAGTCAATGGAGGTCTAGAACAGCCTTCAAAATTAACGAATAAGACTAAGTCTGCATATGGAGATCAAGGAACAGAAACTGATATGCCGTCAGCTAAAAATCATACGTATAGTTCGCTGTCTTCGAAGCATCACAATACTACAGAATTACAACTGCAGGTACTCGTAACTGAAGATTTAGATCAGCGAAATAATAAAAAAGCAAACCAAACAATCAAAGCTATTGTTTCTAATATGTCTTCATTTCAAGATATATATAATGCGTCAACTGTTGCTAGAAATATTTCACCCCTAGAACATCAGTCTAAAGCTAGTAAAGAAACATCTGGGGATGAAACAACTGAATTGATGGAAACAAATACTACTTTTCAAAACAATAAAACCCCGGTCTCTAATGTGGCCGTTGAGTGTTATAACCCAAATGATAGCGAAAAGGTAGCAATTCCTGTATTAACAGAAACAGATCACGCATTCTTCAGATTTGACCTAAAAGAAAATGAAAATACAAGATCAGAGTTTGATACCATTGAGGATCATGAGTCAAATGATTACAGAAAAGACGCTGAACTTGAAATACCATATAGCATAATATCTAAAAATAATAAAAATATGGATCTGTTAATAGATCATAATATAGATACTGATATGAGCACTTCAGCACAATTAAGTATGAATAATGAAAATCTAGAACAGTCCGAAGTAATATCCATACCTTCGAGTCCCAGAAATGATACTAAGGAAATCGTTAAAGTGATTATAGGAATGTCAACTGGCTTAACTCACTTTAATGATGTTGAAATGGATAATGGAACACTTGATTTGAAACAACACAATACCATCAGATTAGATTCAATAGAGGAAATCGACAACCTCAAGGCTAATATGAATGCACAGTTAATGGCTGCTGAATCATTGTCTAAGAATATTTCGGCTATGAACGAAAGTTCCACAGAGGCACAGAATGAAATCATTGAAGTTGAGAAGTCTGAAAGCCAACAAAATTCTAGTGTAACATCTGAAGTACATAATGAAAGTATAATTCACGCTAATGATATGACACCAGAGACAAATACAAAAATTGTAACAAATCACAAAAATAATAGTACTATTAAAAATAATAATGGTTATTTACAAATTACCACAGAATCTGTAAACAATATTAAATGTGAGGGTTTGCAAGACACTAAATTATTTAAGCCTCCTGGCATATTTGTTATTTCGGATAATGAAATGACAGAAGAACCTGTAAATGAATTTGGATTAAAAGACCGACTGACTGATCGACTAGCAAATATTTCTATGCAACAAGATAGTAAAACTGAAATAGAATTTGGAACAGCAAATGTTGATAAAGTAGAGAACATCAGTTCTGCAATTACCAAGATACCAGAAACTGAAATGCAAGGACCTATAAATGGATTTGGATTAGAAGACCAGGCTCGATGGCAGGTTCGACCAGCCAATATTTCTATGCAACAAAACAGGAATACTGAAGTAGAATTTGCCACAGCAGATGTTGATAATGAAGAGTACATCAGTTCTGCAATAACTAAGAAACCAGAAACAAAAGACCAAGATATTGAGACTTTGAGTACAGCTAATGGAAATGTGATATTAAGTCCCCTAAAAATTACGACACAAAGCACTGTACGTAATACCGTCAACAATGAAAAAGAAGAAAAGGACTTTAAAGATTTTGAGACAAGTGATGATGTTTTTATGAATACTTCTACTAACATGCAAAACGTGTTTGATAGCAGCATTTTAAAAAGCAGTGATATTTCTTATGAACAACAAACTAAGATGGTGAATATTATTGACCACACATACACGTTAGTTGAAAATAGAAGTGATGCTCGCACATTGGAAGTAAACTCGAACAGTGAAATAACAGAACCGTGCTATGAAATTTATATTGGCACTATCAATAGTGAAAATAGTAATGATAATTTTTCACAAGAATTAGTGGAAGATATCGTTGACATGTGCAGTGATGAAATACTTGAAGGAGAGCTTGATCATATAGTTTTACATTCTGCAAGTCATGATAACCAAGATTGTAAAATAAAATTATTCCCTGAAAAAAATATTTGCGATAACCATATAAATGTTCAATCAATAATAAACAATTCACGTAAATTACCTGCGAATGAACATGTTCCAACAAATGATAAAAAAATAGACAAAGATTTAGGAGAAAATAGTCATCATTCGTCAAGTGAAAATAACATATCTATGTTATGTATTGATGACGAAGAAAAAACATTCATAGAACATAGTAATCATTATATCCGTACTGCGAATTCAAATATTTGCGAAATCGTTAATGAGAAACTTGCAATAGCTTTGGGCAGTAACGAGAGAAAAGACACAAGTAAAAATCTGGGCAACGATTTATGTGAAAATCTTAACAAAGTGGTTCAGATTACAAACAGCAATGATCATGTTACGGAAGAGTGTGATAGTAATAAAAAGGACTCATCGAGACAATGCGAAATAAGATTAAATTCAAGCATAGATGAATCTTGTCCGTTTATAAAGGGGACTCCAAATGATTTAGTTGAAGATATTATTGAAATAAGAAATAACGATGAGCTTGAACAAGAATTTGCTCGAATTTGTTTAAGCAATTCAAACAGTGATGATAATGATAAGCAAATATTAATTATCAATACAGATAAGTTAGAGTTTGACGAAGTGAAATTATGCTGCATACAGCAGTCTGAGCTGCAAAAATTAATAAAAATTGACAATTCAGAACTAAATAAAATTGAATACAAAAGTAATACATTAAAATCAAGCAATACGGTACTTGATGACGACGATGACTTTAGCCAATCGTCTGACGATATACTTCAGATAACACAGGAAATGGACGAATGTGGGAACATCAAAGATATAGATATTAAATTAAATGTTCCTACTGTGACGTACTCTCGAAAAACCACAAAAAGTAGATCGGACTGTGAAGTTTTATTCATTGACAAGAAAAACAAAAAATGTTTGAAGCGTAAAAGTAACATGGCAGATACTAAAACGCCAGAAAGGAAATATAGAAAGGGCAAAAATATCGATACTCCTAAACTTACTGCAACTACTATAGCCGAGACCGCTTATAGTAAGGAATTCAAACGATTATTTGATTATTGTAGCTCGGTAAAATTTTCCTATTCTGTGCCGTTTCACAAAGACAATATAGATGTAGATACTATATTGAAGTCATGGCCTATCCGAGGAATCTGTCACGCTCAAATTGACTCACAAATGGACGAAAATTTGTTTACTGACTCAGATGAAAATGCAGTACGGCGAGATCCCCTGAATCAAACACTGGCAGAAGAAATAGAAACAAATTATAATGAAACAAATTCTTCTAGTTGCGACATGGAAAACAATTTCCAAATGGGTTTTGGTGAGGGGTCCGGCAGAGTCATACAAAATTCAAGAAATGATGGTGGTTTAAAATTTTCGGCTGCGACTCTGTCGGACGTAAAACACACTCAGCCGCTTTTACGGTCTGAAAATGACGACAACTGTAATATTGTGCAAAAAAATTATAATTTTGATACAACTAAACATGAAATCGAAACACTTCAACGATACTATAAATGTATTCAATTAAAGGATAAGGTCCGATCGTTTTTTAAGGAAACCATGGTTGAATTAAATAACGATTGGATTAAAGACAATAAAAAGTATGATGACGATTTTTCCTGTGAAAACAACTTCACATTTCCATTTGGCCTCAATCGTCCCGATTTTATAAAGCCTCCACCTGTTGAGGTAGTTGTTCAAATGGTACAAGTTGGACATTTACCTGTAAGTGCAACAGCACAAAATCCCGTAACATGTGATCCAAGGGTCACCCAAGTATCAGATGCAAGTCCATCGCAATGTTCTGCCGAAAATAGTCTCAACGACGACCCTCAGTCAGCTATTAAGACAGAATATACAGAACTAACAACTGCAGACATAAGGCTCCCTTTACAAGATTACGTGCAGCATCATACCCAATTACCCACAGAGCCTCAGAACTCTAACGGAATAATGCATCCTGATTTTATTATTGAAGAAATAAAAGAAGAGATTAAAGAAGAAATAGAAGAAGAACCCGAGGTCAATGACGAAGACAGCGATAGTTTTCATACGATAATACCTAATAATCATTTATCGTCCAATAATAACTGTATTATGGACAATATCGATTACTCTTATGAAGGTGTAGCACCGCCACATCCTATAACACCAACCTTAGTGGAGGCTACTATGGAAATTATTAGTAATTCGACGGCAAATCATCCAAAACCTGGGGCTCATTTGGAACAGTATCAACAAAGGCAGTTGCTGCATAAAACTCAACAAATCAAGGTTTTACAACAAAACCCACAAGCTCTCCATCAAGGGAACCACGAAGATCGGATCAATCCGGTCACTCAACATAATGACCCATCGCAATCAATGCAACAAAATACACAGACGCATCATTGCCAACATATTCAGCAAATACAGCATGAACAAGTTTCACAGCATATCCAAAAAGACCACAACGAGCATCATAACTTTTCAGAAGAGATTACGCACCAAAGTCAACAAGAACAGATTTCTCAACAAAAACTACAATCGCAAATTATTCAACCGAATGAACAAGCGCAGAGCACTCAACAAAATCAGCAGCCACACAACACTCATCAAAGTCAGCAAGTGCACATAGTGCAACAAAATCAGCAAGTACAGGATGTCCATCACAATCACCAAGATCATATGCAACAAACGCAGATCGCTCAACGAAATCAGCAAACTAACATCACGCACCAAGCACATGTTTCGCCACAGACTCTACAAGAGCACATTACGTCACAGAGTCATCAAGAACAACATCTGCCACAAAACCAACAGGGATGCCTATCGCCACCACTTGCTCAAGTTTCACAACAACAGCAACAAAATTACCAAAAACACAATGGTTCACCGGAGAAAACAGATCAGATCGCGCATGCCATGAACGCAGCCGGCATAACAACTAGCTCAGAAAACTTAGCCAATACTAGAGCGCATGCACTTGTGAATATTCTTTCACAAAAATTACGGCAAGGTACTGTAGCGGGCAATACATCAGCAACCACGTATCCAAAGACTACACAGATAAATGCCATGGCCTTACAACAAGCTTTAGCTCAAATATTACCTCCGCCGTTGAATCAGGCAAACGTTATCGAGAATAATCAACAAAGTTCATCCAGTGCTCCACAGGTTCTTCATATAGTGCAAGGAAAAAATTCATCAGGAAACCAAATAACACTAGTTGACAATAGCCAACCCTCTGTTATAAGTACGCCGAATGCGACACCTGTTTTGCACATAGTGCAAAATAAGAGCAATACTTCCATACCAACGTCAAATGCTACTCCAGCTTCTCAAGCAAATTCTTTTAGTGGACTTTCTTTAGTTGATACTGGATTACAACAAGGCAATCAACTTCTTCATATAGTCAACACTGCAAATCAAAAGAACGCTAGCACCGGACAACTCTTACGAAAAGTGAATCTACTGACTAATCTCGCAAACGTCCAAGGGTCCAATGAACAAAAAATGGTGCAATTTGTTTGCAAGTCTGCTGATGGAAAATCGATACAGTTAAACTCACCTCATCCGCGAGGCATGGTCTTGAGGTTACAACCTATAGAGTCGCAAAATCTTCAAATGCCGCAAAGTAAATCGACTGAACCACAAGAATTGAGTCCGGCTACTAGTACCTCTAATAATGTACAAAACAAAGAAACAGGACCTTCTCAACATGAAATAAAATCGCGATCTGTGTATGAGGAGAATTATGCGAAGTTTATTCAGTCATCTAATAAGACAACAGTTCCAGAGAAAGCAACAAGCTTACCAAAGTTTGGCCAAGCATTTGGTAAACAAGTTTTTCAAGACGGCACTCAGAAGGCTGATATGAGTAATAGTAATTCTCATTTACAATCAACATCGGATAATCCGGAATGTCAACCGAACGATAATGCCATTAGCTTGGATCACATAAGTCAGATAAGTAGTCCACCGTTACTGCTACGTAAATCGCCACAAACTTCACAAGCTCAACCAAATCTGGTGCAGCAATTGAAGCAGACAATTGCCCCTGTAAATATGAGCATGCACGGAGGCGTGATATATACTCGTCAAATCCCCGTAAATATTGGTGGCGGACAAACTATAAATTTAATAACTGTGCCCAGCACTGAACTTATAGATGAGTCAGTACCGAAACATCAAAATAATCAAGAGGGAATAGAGCCATCTATAATAAAAATCGTACCTCAAACTCCCACATCTAGCTCTGAAACTTCAGAGGACAATAATCCACACATTGGGTCGTCCAATGAAAATAGTCATACACCTCAATCTCAACCAGTTCTAACCCAAATGAGAATTAAACTGCCTATGTTAAGTAAGACTCCTCAAATGGTTGGTGGGACTAGACTGGTGAGACCCTCATTCTTCCAAATACAGCGTAATGTTATCGGTGGCACTAATCAGCCCGTTTATCAACAACTGGTTCTTACAGCAGCTCCTCCACTAGGACAGCAAACTGTCAGACTGCCCCAGACACAAACAAATAGACATGTTAAAATCCCAAGTGAGAACCAATCTTCATCAGAGTCTCAGATGAGCTCATCTACTCTAGAACAGCTTAGAGAATTTGATCTTGTGCTAGAACAAGTTAAAGAAAGGAGTACTGGGACAGGTACGACACAGCCAAACCCAACTCCGTCCTCAAGTAGTTCCTTTTCAAAGCTACCTACTCCATCAACAGATACCACGGATAGTTCAGCATCAGTTAGTTCGACTCCTGCAGAAACCCAACAGCAAGTCCTCTACTCTGTTGGTAATACTCAGCCGGTAAATATTACTTATGTAAATAAAAAGATTCCATCTACAACTCCCACGACATCCACGTTTGTACGGTCACCGGATTCTTCAGGAATAGTTGAATCACCAACATCGTCAACTCATCAAATTCCTCGAACAGTTACCAGCGACTCATCCACTACTGATCCACCAACTAGTCAAGCGAACACATCTCAAAGCTCTCATACTTCCCGCGCGGTTCAGCAAGCGAAACTTCCTAAACCGAAACCAAAACCCAGACCAAAAGCTGCCTCGAATCCACCAAATACTCTGAAACTCCCTCCAGCGCCACCGAAGACATCAACACAAAAACCTGCGGAAGACGAACAGACTACTCAAAGAATTCTTTACATTTTGGCAGAGTACAAAGAACAAGTGGAAAATTCCCCTGACAAAGATAAACCAGCTCCACGTCGGAGGGCACACCTAGCAATGAATTCTGGGGGTTCATCAAAACGTAAGAAGAGTTCAAGCGGCTCCCGTCGTTCAGGACCCGATATGAGTCCCTGTCATGGGGAAGATACGTGCCGAACTATGGGTTCTGAAGATAGCAGCTGTGGTACATCTCAAGGAGATTGTAATGAAAGTTGCCTTGACAGTCATTCTCCTCAAGACAGCCCACGGAAAGTCGTACGCAAACTGACATTTGAACAAGAAACGACGGCTCCTGTAACTCAGCCTCGACCGCAACCGCAACGGAATGTTATCGTAGCAGATGGACAAACAATAACTATGGCTAGAGGTACTGCCGGTAAACCAGCTACAGCCGTCCTAATGCCGGCTAACTACATCCTGCCTGTGTCTATGGTAAAAGGGGGTCAGCAAATTGCCATAGTGACAAATCGTGGTCCAAAATTGTTAACAGTTGCGGGTGGAGAAGGAGGTGCGACTAACACTTTGTTATTACAACGATTAATAGGGCCGGCTGGTCTGAAGCCAGTATTGGCACGTCCAGGAATACGTCAAGTTCGACTGCCAACATCAGCATTGCATAACCTCCAAACATTTAACCTGGCGACGGCAACAACAGTGCAACCGCCAGACAGTACGGCATCGCCTGCGCCTGCCCCTACCCCGCCTGATTTAGTAGATACTAGGGTGGCAAACTCACCGTGGAGAACAGAGCGTGATTCTCGCGACTCGAAACCAGATAGAGGCTCAAGTCCTGAAGGTTCAGAACCATGGAATCTTCCACCGCCTGACTACAGCTACGAAGAAACAGTGAGAAGCGAGCATCTGGATCGAACTGTACTTGTAAGTATATCATGTATTATGGGTCTTGGAACTATTATCTAAAAAAATGTATATTTCCTGGTGTATCGAGTTAATAGTTCCAATTTAAGTTAAAAACAAGTGACACACATTTCCAACTTCAGGACCCGATCCCAGATCGATACAGTCCTGATATGGAGGCGCAACGGATTTTTGATAAGATGTTCGACGTCGATTCGAAAAAGTCTTACATGGTTGATTCACACGATGATTCGCCGCGATGCGGCTACGATATTGACGCGTCCGATTGCGACGATAAGGCCTACCACCAGGTACTTGGATCGTAGAGCCGAAGCTGAACCCTATTCGACTTAGTACCGCCTCTTTAGTAGAATGCACGCATCGATTTATTTTAATGTCAGCTGTTCTTCGTTGGTGAGCCCTAAATGTACATGATGTAGTCGCGACGTTTTGATGAAAGTTGTTGAAAATGCCAAGCATGTTGTCAGAAATGTTAACAAAGCACTAACACCTGGTGCCACAAAGCTTGTTTATTATTTGCTTACTTTTTGCATAGAAATGCTATTCAAATGTTCTAATTGTAAGCAAATGCGACTAACTTATATGACAGCAAGTGTTTTCGCAAAATGTCGCTTCTAGATGATGTTCTGTTGGCATTGCCGCACGAATATCGAAGACGAACGTTTAGGTGTTCTATTACTTACGCCTCCCCTCTTCATTATATTAGTCTTTGTTTTGTTTTTCTCATAACTTTCGATCTCGGACCGTAAGCTTACTTTTTTAATAACATTTCTCTAGAGTCTAGTTTATATTTTTTGCATGAAGTTAATCAAAATTTACATTGTCAAGTCTGGTCCCGCATTTATTATGCATGTCCCTTTCATTCCGATCATTGTTGGAAAATTCTTCATTAGTTGTTGTGGTTAAAATTGAATATTAATGTCATAGAGATAAGATATAATATTGATGTGTAAGGAGTAACGGAAGGGCTTACGCTTTAACGTCATCCTATTCCTGATTTTATGTTGAGCAGGTATCATATATGTAGGCTTACAAATGTTCATAACGGCTTTGTAATTCAAGTTCGTAGCACTTGAAAAAAATATCAGTTTTCAAATTTAATTACACGAACTTTAAGATAAATTTACATTTGAAGATTAATAAATCGACGCTTACAACACATAATAAGTTACTTTATACAGTTAATAAACTTAGTCTACTTGAAGTTAATTTATTTTACGGTATTACATGAGCTCAAATCACCTTCAACATTATTCTTCTAAAAATACATTTAATTATACATACTGACATATATTCTCATGGTGTGTAGGTTGTGCATAGGAAGGATGGCTCGGCACACAGACAACACAGATTGACACACGTATCAGCAGCTGCTCTGAGACATAAATATGCCATCTTGGAGCATGAACTACGTTTGCAGGTAAGCTGTTGTAAATTACAGATATATACTGTAATTACTCTTTATAATGTTATTTATTATTCTCGGGATCGTAGATTTAAATACAATTGAAATTTACTAAAATGACATGTTTTAACAAAGCTTTTGATTTTATTTAAAAGTTTTTAAAAGAAATCGAAGGCATCTATTAAGCATTTAAACAATTTTTTTTTGTTTCCCTCAGAAATCATTATCCGAAGAATGCGAGGACTTGGGTGTTGATTCTCCCTCAGCTTCGGAGTTATTCCCGGAAGCTGAGTTATTGTTTGCTGCGTCACCTGCACACGATCACACGCAAGATCACTTACACCATTCTCACACTCGTAAGTATATCACGGTTACACAGTTTTATAGGACTTTCTGCGGATACATTTTAATAAAACATTTTAAGGCTTTACCATAAATAAAGTGGCGTTAGTACCAGAGTAGAGACGATTCGGTCCTTGAAAAAGGTCGTGTGTTTGACCTTCGTACCTTTGAATAGCATTGGATACCCAACACAGCTCTGACCACTAATTGCTTAACACATAAATTCGATAGCAGACAATGTGGCGCGATTTTCAGAGCAATGGTCTATTGCTATCAATTTTGTTTCACTGATTTATAGAGAATTAAATCTCCCTAGTCCTTGAGTTTACTGAATGAGGAAGCTTTTTCCTAATCTTGCGTGCCTAAATTAATTTAGTTGTATACATACATCACTTGTCATAATAGGTAAATGTTTGCTTTTTGTGTTAGGCATATTTATAATTTTATTTTATTCTTCAAATGTGTTAGTCAAGTGTAAAGTTAGTCGTTCCATATTTTTAACAATTCTTGGAAGCCATCTTGATCTTATTTAGTTAAGAGTGTAATGTTTGTATGTGACACCGTGTGGCGTTTAGGTTCTTGTAAATAAAATAACTTGTCAGACTGACTTGTAATATTATATTATCACTTCAGCACAATACAGACACAGTTTACAGTATCACAGACAGAGGAAATATGATGTAGAAAGTAGTGTGGCCATAGTGTAATCTATGTTAGTGACGCAACATATTAATCTACTAAATAGTGATGTTACAACAAACAGGCGTATTTCTTACAAAAACATCTCTATTCTAGCTCAACCCTTACTAAGCCAGAGTGGCATACCCCAACCGGATTTAGACGACCAAATAGCTACTGACCAGTTGATTCCACGATCGGATCACCTCCACGACGACAGAGACCTGGGCTTGGGACTTGAAGACGTTGGCATAGTGACGGTAAGCGAAGACGGTCTGCAGGCGACGATACAACTGGACCAGGAGGAGTTTGCACGCTCACATCCAAATACAACTTTCCACAGTGATGAGGGAGAGGTTAGTTTTTAGCATGGCTTTCCAACCGTTTTTTTTGCTTTTAGATTGTTCTTCTGATAAAGTAATATTAAATATATTTTCGAACATCTGACACAACGCCATCTAGTTTCAAACTAAGCAGAGTTTATACTGTGAAAGCTAGATTGAGTGATAAAATACGTATATATTTTTTTTATAAATTGTTTTTTACTTGTAACTGTTACTGTAAGAGACAAGTTGCTGTCTCTTTCCAAGTGGCTGCTCTTACCATAGGATTTTCTAGCTACAGCAGTCTTAGCCTCTAGCTTCTTCGGTCTCCATATTCGTACGCCAGTTTACTTTATTTTGTTAAGTTAAAAAATTGCTTATTGTGGCATTAGCCAAACGGCCGCCCATAAAAGGAACCAAATAAAACCCTCTGCGATGTTACACATTGCGCCGACGCGAAATGTAATTGTAAAATTCGAAACATTGTAGGCAGTTCAAGATGTCTTGATACTGTGGCCTCAAAGAACAGTCCTCACCAAGCAAAGTGAAGAAGTTTAATTTTCCAACTTACTTCTTAAACTTTCTCTTCTCACTTCTTTCCTATTTCACAATCTATAAACTAATATCAACAATTATTATTTATAAAGATAATTATAATTAGTTTATGTATATGTAAATATAATAAAAAGGGAAGTATTTAAACTACTGAATTTTCTCTAGCATTCACTGAAAACCTTAGAAGATTGACAAAAGAAAATTTTTTACCTTGGTATAAAGATATTTTAAACTTTAGGGGTGTTACTTAAACTCTATTCTCGACTTGTTGGAGATCTGGTTAAGGTATTTACAAAAGGAAAAAATTGTTTCAAGTCTGGTTCTCCTAAATAAATTAATGACTGTTTTATATTTGCAGGTGCAACAATCATTCACGCTAAGTGGTATAAGAAGTCGCCACATATCTACAATATTGCACTCGAATCGATCTCAGGGCACGGTACTCATGACGGCACCGCAGACCACGGTCATATCGCAAGCTACGGCCGAAAGTAGCGGTGTCCACCATAATGCTATTAAATACGCGGATATAGACAACATGATTAATTCTCTACCGGGCACGCACACCAATAACATAAATTTATCATCGGTGCTCGTCAAAGACGACGGCTTATCGAGATTCGACAGTTTACTAAACGATTCCCGAGAATTACATTTATCGAACACGGCGTCCGCTATCGTACATTCATCCGCCCACACGACGCAAGTCATCCGACGCGTTCGCTACGAGGACAGACGGGAGCGGGGGAACCGCTACTCGATGGACGAGTCGGACGGGCCGATAGCCGGCGACGACGCTAAAATGATCGGGGAGGACTCCTCCCGCGACGCGACCCTCGAGTCGACGGGCGGCGACACCGCCGGCTCCTCCCCCGAGCTGTTCTGGGACTCGCACTCGGCCTCGGGCCGCGCCGAGTTCAGCAGCGACAGCGACAAGTGCTGCAAGAGCCCGTCGGACGACACCTCCACGGACTCGAGCGCGGGCGCGGCCGCGAGCGCGCACATGCGCCTGGACTCCGTGATCAAGGAGGCGCGCGGGCTGGCCAGCGACGAGGACGCGCCGCCGCTGCGCACGTACCCCGCGGCGCGCTCGCTGGGCGGCAAGACCGCGCCCAGCGCCGCCGGCCAGCGGCGCCGCGCCTCGGGCCGCGGGCTCGTCAAGCGCGGCACGTGCCTGTGCTGCGTGGGCGACACGCCGCCGCGCGCCAAGAAGCCGCGCCAGCGCCGCCCCGCGCTCGACTTCGCGGCCGCCAACTGACCGCTCCACCGATTTTGACTTACCCGAAGTGAGTGACGTTTATGTCGGAGTGTCGTCAGCGAATCGTTCCTCCCGGGGCGCCGGACTGACTCGAGATCTCTCCGAGCGAGCCTTCTCTCGGCCGTAGGATAAGACGTTGTTGAAATTGTTTTGTATATAATTTTAAATGTGATCTATCGATAGCTAAGTTCGCGACGAGCGTTGCGCTTTTTTTAGTTGATTTTGTTAAAGTTTAATCGAGCCGTGTTTCCGTTGAGTCACCGCGTGTTATAATTTTCTAAGTTGCGTCACCGATGAGTTCAAATTTGTTTTTATCGCTAGTGAAATCCGACGATTCGCTTTTGTATTGTTGAACATTTTTCTTGTATTATACCCGTATACTTATTTGTATCGATACGTGATTGTATAAAAATATATTTCTGTAGGTTATCGCCGATAGAATAAGTGTTTCCGTTAGTGAATACATGCCATACTCAAAATGTGAATTTAATCGTCTTTTAGCAGTGTAGATGTATTTATAATTTATTACGATAATAGCCCTTCGTAACGATGCTAGACTGATGTTTGAAGTTAAACTGTTCGTTTCATTAGCGCGTTGTCTGTTTGTTCGGAGCAAATATATTTTTAATTTTAAATATTGTAGCATATTACGTGTAACTTTAGTTGATAAGCGACTTCCATGTGACACAGCACAAAGTGATCGACTAAAAGACGATGGGGAGCTTTAAATTCGGGTGATTTGAATTATTTTTGAGATTTCGTTTATCGTAAATATTTGGGTGCCGATAGTATTATGGCATACACATACTCACCTGTGCTTTTTACATTACGTTTCTAAAGCGCGTTATAACTGTATTTAATAAATATATTAACAATTAATAGTAGAAATGTGTTAAGCTAGTGTGAAATTGATATCTATAGTTAAAAGGTGTAAATAAAGTTTTGATCCCCAATTTTTGTTTCGGGGAGTGTCTAGTCACTATTGTACCGATACGACGTAGAGTGTATGTGTTGTGCGGGCCGCTGTGGCTGGAGCCGATGTGAACGTTCATTTTCCTTGCAGTATTCTACAGCTTGTGTACATAGGGCCATTATATTACCATGAGAAATACACGTTTACTTTGTCTAATAAATAACATATATAATCCGTATAATTCTACATGTTTAGACTCAAGATTCATTCCGAATTTGTAAATATTGAAAAAGGTGGTGTTTAAATTTTAGTGATTTTAGTGAGTATCGGCCTTCGGGTCGTATAGTAAAAATTAAATGGAAATATAATTGTGAACTTACTGGGGTTTACCCGTAGTTCAACTTAATTTAATAGTAAGGTGAAGATAAGTGTGTATAAGGGCATATCGTGTCGGGAGTTCAATCCCGTCATCGGCAGCCTGCGCTAAAGGCACTAAAATTAACCTATCCAATGTTACGACTGTATAATTATCAAAAGTGTTTTTGAAACGTATGTATTATTCATTTGGAAGAAAAAATCTGCCATTTCTATAAGTAAGGTCGAATTTTTTATAAATTCCACAATTGTTATTGTTCTTATAATATTGTTGGTAGCGTACCTCCGATATTATTATCTGATAAATTACAGTATTGCAGATGCGTTTTTGTTATATTTTTCACTTAGAAGTTTAAATTTATTAGGTGTAAAAGAAAACTAATAATTAAAGTTTAGGAGTTTCAACATTATTTTTTAATTAAACAGATTGTGTTTTTGTGATTACTGTAAACATTATTTTAAAAGTGCTACAGACGAGACAATCATTAAAAAACCTTATCTTATTAAATATACGACCGTTTTATTTTTAACCTTCTGTATCTGTATTGTGATTCGATATTGTTAAATGTTGGAGATTTTAATAAAGTCCTTTCAGTGGGACACGTTCAATATTATAATATATTTCATAATTCAATCACCAAAACGAAGACCAGGCTTCTTTCTTCAGGTCCCTTTAGTTGGTGGATGACGATATTTCCAGACATCATTTTTACAGTATTTCAGAAGTCTTGTATGGATATTAAGTGAGTTAAAAACTCCAATACAGGTGTAAGAATTGTAGTTAAGAAAACTAGTAGTGTTATAAAAATATACTTTATACTTAAACAAATAACTTAATCACTCCTAGACTATTGACTTAATTACTTATTTTACCCATTAATAAAATTATTTTTACCCAAGCTCGGGTCGTCTTTGAGAAATATCATTTTAAAACCAACACAAAATACGAAGTACCTTGCAACGACGATGTTTGTCTAAATAAATATCATTTAAAAAAAATAAAACGTGCAACCTGAGATATTTTTACCAAATTGGGAAGCGCCGTTGAGTTTACTATTCAAGGGATTGAATAAAAATTTAATTGATTGAATTATTCAAAACTTTAAAAACTCGTTTGTTCAAACTTCATACCATTTACGTTTATCCTTTATCTTCTTCATCACACCAAGAACTTCAATCCTGAATTCTAACCTTTCATCTTCACTGTACCTCACAACGGTCGGTAATAAAGAAGCAAAAAACGCTTCATCTTCATTCATCAACCTTGGGTTATCACTCTCATCGACTTCTACAAAGTTTATATCATCATTTACACTATCATCATCTTTTGAAGTACTTTCATTTTTTGATTTCTTTTTCCCAAAAGTGGTATCATTCGATTTCTTTTTTTTACTATAGCTGGATTCACTGCCACAGTATTCGGATAACTTCAAATCATCGAAGTCGTTTCTTTTCGACTTCCTTTTTTGACTGTAACTGTTTTCAATAACACAAAAATCATTTGATTCCGTATCGTTGACGTCATTTCGTTTTGAACGTTTTTTTGGTTCGTAACTTGTCTCTTGTAATTCTGACAAGTGTGATTCGGTTTCCTGCTTCAGGTAAGGTACTTCTTCGTTAGACTCGTTTCCCAATTCATTTTGTTCGATGCCGCATACTTCTGGATTAATTTTTGTTAAGAATTTTAAATGCTCGTACAGTACGTACCTTCTTTTGGGTCTTCCCATTTTTGTTTTGAGAGATTTAACGAATGTGTCCCGTATATTTGTCCATTTGTTTAAAATGTGTTCACCTGTAAGAAAATAATGAACGATTGGAATGAGTATGAACGAAAATAGTACTAAATAAACTAGAATTGCTGTCTACAGAATGTTTTAGATAATTGAAGTCAGTTGTGTGTCCACGGACTAACAAAAAAGGTCGGTAATGCCTCTGCTTTTTGGACGTGGAAGGATAAAATAAGGCATGTACCATATCGACATTTTTTTCCTTAGAAATTCACATATATAATTACATAAATCTTTACTAATATTATAATATACCATATTATAAAGCTGACGAGTTTCTTTGTTTGTTTACTACTGGTTCGCTTAAAAAAAAATTAGGGTTGCTATATATGTATATCACGCTACGACCATTAGGATCCGAGCACGAATGAAAAATGTGGCAAAAACGGGGAAAATTTAGTCCTGTTGCGAGACGCGAATGGCATTTTTGAACGACAAACAAAATAATGTATTTTTTAAGATGGGGAAAAAACCATTGAACTCTCGACACTTTTACCGTTACCGACACCTCTGTATATGTATAAGTATCTACATATATATAATATAAACACATATTGTATACAACGTACAACATAGATATATATTCATGTCTGAAACTTTCAAATCGAAAAAACAAAAAAAAGCCTGTTATAATAAAAAAAAAATATTTCGAGTAAGTATTCATTTCTGTCGGCACTCCCAGAGCGCCACTGTTTTTTTTTATTTGACAGGTGACGATCGAGTATTTTTTACTTAAAATCATTGAAAAAATTATCCAGGTTTTACATTGTCAATTCAAAAAAATTTAGTGGCTAGTAACTAATTTCAATAGTTTCTTATTAGTTATCTTAATAGAAAGGGGGGCTAACAGAATCACGGATTTGCTGTCAAACCTAAATTTCTGTTTCTGGAAACTCCTAATCTTGACCAGCATTGATCCTGATCGCTAACATAAAGAACGGTAGGTAAGTGACTTCTGAAACTCAATTACAGCGATCCATAAAGCATTTTCTGGCACAAGAATGGGGCAAGTTTTAAGAGAAGTTCTCGCTCAAGTGTGCGAGTTAAAGAAAAAGGATCAACAGTTAAAAAACCATTGAAAGAAAATATCGGTTTTCGACACGAGTTACCAACAACCTAGAATAAAGAAAAAAAAAGAAACAAACGGACAATAAGATTTCTTCATTGTCAATCTAATCTGAATCTAACCCACACTAACAATCTGCACTAAGACTTCATTGAGCACTCGAACTCATTTAAAATTACTAAAATTTTACAATTTTTCTTCTCATCCTAGGTATTGCTCATGACCTATTTACAAGCAGAGGCACAACCAAGTGTCGCCGACGTTTATGAGTGTGTGTAAGTGTTTTCTCAAGTCAAGTGAGTTGACTTGACTTGAGAAATTATGCTGCCGTAGCTTCACATATATTTTATTTTAACATACGCTATATGGCGAAATGTTACTGACATTCAGGCCACAAACAATACAGATTAAAGTTTAAATCATTTAACGGAAACCATCAAACAATATTCATGTATGTATTTAAAGGCGTATCCTTAAACAAGTACCTGCCACAATTTATTTACTTTATGGATTTCCAAAAAAAACATGATTGTGTTGTCCTAAAAATCCTTTTAAAAGAGAACTATGACGAATGTACGGGAAAATGTAACGAATAGTTTCTTTTTTAATATTCTCGTATATTTTTAATAAAACCTATTGACAAAATGTTCTAAATGCAAAACGAAACTAAATATTACTTTGGTTAATACGATGCCATTTTAAATAAATTTTCTTTTAAATAAATTAAAATATATCATCTACTTCTGTATTAAAATCAAAATTCAACGAAAGAACAAAATCCGAACGCACTTCTGATGTTTGTTTCCATTACCTGTGAGCCTTTTTTCCTCAAGTGTCATGTTGTCGTATCTCTCTTCTAACATATTGAATATTTCCTCCCACGCAATTCTTCTTTCAACACGATCTTTATAATTTTCTATGGTTTTATCCCACAAACATGGCCGGTCCCTAATTCCAGTGATTAACTGTATTACATCATACTTAAATTCTCTCATTTTGAACAAAAATCAAAGAAATCGAGAACAAAAACACTGTTTACACACCCTAGTCTGGCACGTCACTACATTTTGTCAGTTATCCATTTCTCGGATCGGATGGCATAGTGCTATCCTTTTCTATTCACACTCGGTTGAGAGAGATAGATAATTGCAACGAGGTCACCGACACGGCCGTGTCGTGTCGCGCCGTGTATTATGATATCCAGCGTTATTAGAAACCTTGATTTTTTAAATCTAATTTTGTTTTAAAGGATCGGGTGCGGCTCAGAGGTCAGGTTAATATGGCTTCTGTTAATCGTGACTTTGTGTTCATGGTTCGTCAAAATGTCGATTCGGAATGATGTTGTATACATAATTTGTATTATTGATAGACGAAATAACTAACAAGGAGTAATATAGTGATAACCTATAACATAAACATTTACATAATTATTTATTATATCTTATCTACAATGCATACCTGTTTGACCTTGCAGATCCATAAATTTATCAAAACACATAATGTACACAGACAATAAAAAATATACCTAACATCAGGTGTCTTGATGATCACTTGATGATTGACTAGAGCTTCAAATAGATCTCAAAAATTTACTAGATTATTATAAAAGTAATAAAATAAGTGTCAATATTAATTAATGTCAGACGATAAGTTACACTAGAAAAAAGCAACCTTATAATTATTCATACAATTTTAATGGTATTTCGTTTACTAAGGCAAATGAGTGATCTAGGCGTATTATTTGACGATAAATTTGCCTTCGTAGTAACATATTGACTATATTGGGGCAAAAGCTTTTAAAAATCTTGGATTTGTCATGAGATTCTGCAAACTGTTTAAAAACATTTCAACTTCAACTTAAAGCCGTAGATTTTGCTTATTTACCTACGTAGCGCACTTGATTTCGCTTCTCCAATATGGTCTCCTTGGTATCTCGTTTATACAAACCAACTTAAGCAAATTCCGTAATCCTCCGTCGTCATATGAAGACAATTGCAAGAGATGTGATTTACTTAGTTTGGATGACAGGATGATGGAATTTGTCAGCGTCACATCACTTACCTTACAGGTGTTGTAAGCAATGCTATTACCTATATACAAACAAGAGGTAGATACGCCACCAACGCACAAAACGCGTGGGTCCTAATTAGGACCACTACGAGCGAGCGCTACTACTACACTACTACTACACTAATTCATTCGAGAAAATTCATGAAATGCGGGGCTGTGTATTAAGAAAGTGCACAAATTATGACAAAAAGGAATATCATACCACAGGTAAGTGTATGTTTTGTTCTAAAATGCATTAATAGATGTACATATGTATGTATCAAAATATTTATTTCAAATATTTAATTCCAAGATGGTGAATGATGAAATGATGTATGAATATTACCTATCTTCTTTAAAATATCATTGGTTGTAAGTGTTTATGTGATAGTATGGTACTTGGCCGGTCTCCCGATATTCATACACGGGAAAGCCGTATAGACGGCTATCCGGCCGTCAAATATAAAATTTATTGTCGATTGCTTGTCCTGCAGAAACTGTACCTTATTATTTTATGAAACATAACATATGTTTATTATTACGATTCCTCTAGTGAGCAGTAATTATTTAATGCCTCTTATAATCTACGAGAAGAATAGATTTAGTTACAAAGAGCAAATGAAAACAACAGTAATCAGTCTCATGAACAAGAAAATCAATGCAAAGTCAGAGATGATTAAAATTTGTTTATTTATCCCTCGGAAACTACTTTTTCTGGATGACGAGTTTCCGATGTGCTTTTCTGTGCTCTTGAAGGAAGTTGGTATCAAGAAATTTAAATTCTGTCAAGCGAATAGAAATAGAGGCTAGAGAAAAGAGGACAAAGTCGATGGGAAAGCGTTCGACTTTGTTCTACATATCTTCTTACACCTCCGAAGAGACACAAGAAAAGACTACAAATAAGGTATCAAAGAAAATTAACTGTCAAAGTTTGGCGCCAATGCAATGTGGAACAAGGAGTATGAGTTTCAAGTCTATTGATCGTACTGCGCGCGCACCAACCTGACATTCAATTTAGTTTGGTTCTGGTACGAGAAAAAAATCGTACAAACGTCGTATCCAGGTTAATTTGTGAATTTTTAAGATAATATTTATGTTAGAATACTTTGGATCCTAGTTAGTTGATGTACTACGATATGCGAGCGTTATTTGTGATGAATTTACATTAGTTTCTTCGATATGGTGTTTTAATTTACGTGCAGTTGCCGGTTACAAGTAAGTAATCAAATATAGTTTTGTTACGTATGAGTTATATCTGTTGTTAAAAGAAGATATCTGAATAGTGTACTCCCATAGCACTGCCATTTTTAGTGCACCTTGCCATGGTTTTATTGACCGGCACTTCTCGTCAGCTGATCGATAAACTTACTTACTTACTAAGTGATATGATAATGATGTAGTATGCTCTTACTGTAATTGATTGTTAGTATGTTTTATTGCAATCTACATGTAGACCGTTTTATACTTGGTTGTACTTTTTATCGGAAATTACTCTATTAAAAGGAGTATTTCTGTTTAAAGTTGGTCTATGGCATCAAAATTCCTAAACAGATGAACCAATTTTGATTTAGTTGCATTTTGTGAAAGATGTCGTTTGAAGTCTTTTGAGCCGTTCGAAGATCATCAGGTCGAACCATTAAGGTAAATTTTAATAAAAAAAAAATATATTTGAATTTAGCATAATCGTAATAATAATAATTACTTCTACTAGCCTGGTTACTGTCCCTTCACACTTGGGTTATACAGAAGGGAATTCAAAGCATTAATACCTTTTTATAAATGTACTGTGGAATAACAAAACATGAGTCAAGAGTGTTTATAGCACTTATAGACCACTGTAACTGAGCACTTATAGACCACGCCAATGAGGCAACAAACAAGCATAGGTCCAAACCTATGCTTGTTTGCTGCCTCATTGGCATATAAATAAAAAAAGGGTTTGCCGACTAAATAAATAGAGAGCCTTATGGAATATAGCAAAATTTCTTATTTGGGAAATGTAACTAGGAGATCAGATAACGATTCAAACCGCCGTTTTTTTTGTTATTAAACGTGATAAGAACTCCTCGCCATTGAGGAATATGTGATGATAAAAGAGGCAGCTCGCGTGTTAGAACTATTCTTGTCCCTCCTGTAATAAACTACACATTTAGTTTAAATATAAGTTGCAGCTAAAAATTTAGCAGGCGCTATTCCAATAGGTTAGGTAGGTAGGCAAGTCTGGATGTCTTAATAAAGGCTGTTCCTGGATCTCCCCTATTTTAGGCATAGTACCATAATCTGGTTTTAGTCGGTTCGATTTTTACAAACCACTCTAACGAAAATTACGGTGGTAACGGCCAATGGGGGATTTTACGCACACACAAAACAAAGGTACATGGATGATAAGTCCGGGTGTTTTAAAGAAAGCTGTGCCCGGATCCCTTTTATGTTAGGCACAGTACCTCACACTGTGTGATACAGAAAACCTACTTGTACACACACACACACACATTTTGTTTTGCTCCTTTTTTTTGCTTTTGTTTATTTATTTATTTATACTTTATGCACAAATGTGGCAAAGGCGGACTTAATGCCGTAGGCATTTTCTCCCAGTCAACCTTAGAGCGATTCGGAGCTAAAACATGGTAGATGCACAGAAATTAAAAATGTGATTATATTAAAAATATAGCAAATATAGGATATATATCGTAGACCCAGAGTACTTATATTAATTACATTAGATAAATTAATTTTATCTTGTCTATTTATTGATTGTAAACTAGTACATGCTATAATTTATGTAACTATGTTTTCACAACATACTCCTGCCTCCTGCTTCGTCGTTCGTCCAACGGGAGCCGGTGATCCGAAGGGATTTACCACCCTGTCACCAAAAAAAGGAACTTCCAATTCAGACTGGAATCCTTATCATTTATATTTCCCACCTTAGCTATACAACTGATCTTTATTTTACATATCCATTGTCAGGAGTACAGGCTACGTATCGTATAGTATACCATTTATCTCGAATGAATGTGAGTGAGAGAGAATGTGTTCTTGAGCCAAAAACACCTTAAAGTGGGCAGGCCGTGGATATAAGCTAGTAATTTATATCTTCTCTCATAAAAAAGGTACGTATGATAAGAAAGCATATATCCGCAGTAATAATAACCACTATCAACTATGTTTACCCTTGAAAACATTAGCTATTTATAAAGTATCCATTCCCAAGTACAGTAATCACAATGTGTAATACACGACTGCTCTTTGTTACATCACTGTACACAATAGCTTCAATGTTTTCTAGACCTTTCTACGCATTATAAATATATGACTCGAAACTGCCTGATGTATATTTCTATAATATCGAAAAACATATTTCAATGTTATCTGACAAAGACACACCGAAGTACGGAGTGTCTTTGTCAGCTAAGCCCTAATTGATACGACACAGCGCTATAAGAAAATTCTCACCGATTAGAATAATTTATACAACTTCTTAAGTCCAACCATTGGGCCACGGCCGGCCATAACCTCGCCTATTTAGAGGATCCCCTTTGAGTAGGTGGTCTATATCCACCCATAATCCGTTTTATATCAAATAAGTTTTAATGAACTCAAAGTAATGTAATTATAAGTAATATTGGACTGTATCAAATACCCAATGCCCAGAGTACCTCTACCTCAGACTACTATAAATAGGTAAATATTGATATTACAGCTCTCTACCTTGCGTGTGATCGTGCTAATCTAAGTGAGGCGGCGTTATTGGCTTTTTCCATGTTAATGAATTTTGAGTATTAGGACTGAATTTAAAATGTGAGAGAGTGACTGTCTGAGTGGGAGTTACCACATATGGGCCGGCTTGACCGAATTGATTCTTCAGCATTACGGAAAACTATAACTAATGCGGTAGTAGAGGGCTAAAATTAAATTTTAATTCTACTCATGTTAAAAATATTTGATCCATACTCATTTTATAAATCTGAAAGTGAGTTCGTTTGTGTATTACGCTTTCACGCCTAACCCACTCACTTCTTGCCTATAATAAATTTAAAAATCTATAATATGGTTTCTTAAGTTTCAGAATGTTGGCGGTATGCGTCCCAGGATGGGCAGCGGCCATGGTGGCTGGCGTACTTTTACTCTATGGCAGTATTGACGTGGCATATTTCGCTAGAATGATGTATACCGTTGCCAAGGCCAGGTACTTCAAGAAGAAGACCTGCATTCTCGATACTACTGAAGTTGATTGTAAGTATTATTACAAAAAAAAAACGAAAATGAAAGATGTCACGATAATATTAACTGTTCGAACAGTCTAATGGTTGTTTTTTTTAGCTCAGAGGTGCAACAATTTAGAGGATCCTTCTTCCAACTCTGGTACAGATTTTTGTTTACCTTAAAATAATTTCTTCAATCTAGACAGACAGGCACTCTACGATGACCTCTGTCATGACTTCTAGTCAAATTTCCCGAGTCTCTTATTAGTGCAAAACAGAAATAATCTTTAGAGTATTATGTAAGATAATATCCTTGGATAGGCATGAAAAATGTTAATATTTTCCGTTTAAATGATTGCTTTCCCTAATAATTATGCTTTCCCTCATAATGTCAATAGAAAATCAGGGGCAATTTTGGAGTGAAAACTTCTTAAGCCACGTTGAGCGATTTTTGGTAGGAGAGAAAGTTACTGATTCGCATCACCCATGGCCTCGACATGCTCAGGACGTCTTGCGAAAACTGGCGACGCGTAGTTCCATTGTTTTGAGTTTTTACTTCTGTCAGTCCTATATGACTGCCTCTGTTTTTTTTAAAGACAACTCCTGCACTAGGAATGCGTAGTGGTTGCACCGCCTGCACGGATGGCGTAGTGGTTTAAGCACACGGTTTAACAAGGTTTAACACTCAGTGCAGTATTTTCAAACCCCGCATGGGACAACACATTGTGTGATCCACAAAGTGTTGTTCTGAGTATGGGTGTTCGTTGTGTAAGATATAGGTAGGTGCGGGAGTTGTCCTTTTAAAAGAAAAAAAAATCCCGAAAAAAATAATTATACTATCCCGTGTCCGTGCCCGTTTGTAAAGCCTCCGCGGCTTTATAAACGTACATGAAACATACACAAAAAACACTCAGACTAAGAACAACAATTTCAACAACAACTGCCTACTGCGCTGTGTTGTGTTTTCGAACGAGGGACAATAATTTGTGTGATTCACAAATTGTTGTTCTGCGTCTGGGTGTTCTTTGTGTTCGTTTCTTGAATGTTTGTAAAGTCCCTCGCGACACAGAATATATTTCTAGTGCGGGAGTTGTCTCTTATAAATATAAATAAATAAATAAAAACAATAAACAAGTGACACCCTTTCTTATCTTTCCAGCATGGTGTCTCATAAACGACGTAGATACTCTGCTATACCACATGAACAATGCTCGCTACCTTCGCGAGTTGGACTTCGCCAGAGCTGACTTCTACGAGCGTACAGGGCTGTACTTTAACATTAGGGCGGCAGGAGGATCTGTGGTGCAGGCAGCCGCCACCATCAGATACAGGAGGTTTCTGAAGCCCTTTACCAAGTTCACCATCACCTCTAAAGTAAGTGTTAAAAGGGCTTTTTACTTTTTAGAGATGATTGGGCAGGCTCAACCAGTGTGATATCACGGTCTCAAAGAAATCCTGTGTTAAGTACCGTAGCAATCCAATCTCCTTCCCCTCACGATTCTTGACTGCAGGGATGGCGTAGTGGTTTAAGCGGTTGCCACACTGCTTACTACTACTTTGTGGATTCGATCCCCACTTGGGATTACAATTTGTGAGCTCCACAAATTGTTGTTCTAAGTCTGGGTGTTCTTTGTGTCTCGTTTCTTGTATGTTTGTAAATTCCTCTGCGACACAGGATGTATTCCTAATGCGGGAGTTGTCGTTTTAAAACAAACTCAAACAAACAAACGGAGGGCAACCCCCTTATTCTAGAGGGCAACGCTTTGTGTCTCTTGAGTTGTACGGGACGGTAGTCACTTTCCATCAAGTAACCTGTCTGCTCGTTTGTGCCCCTATACCAAAAAAATATTTATACTTTAATTTGTGTTCAACAAATATTATGTGGAAAACTCTATCTGTAGCTATAGTTATCTAAAGATAGTTCCTGCTGGTTTGATTTGTAACCAATTTTGTTCATTTCAAACCTTTCTTGTAGAATAAAACGCAGATCTTACCCAGTATGTCTGTTTTTCCAGGCGTTATACTGGGACGATAAAACATTCTTTATGGAGCACGAGTTCGTGGGCCCCGGCGGTTTCGTACACGCAGTTGCGGTGTGTCGGCAACGCGTCATCGACACGTCGGCGGCTGCCATCGCAGAGCTGCTGCTGCAGCTGCACTGCGCGGGCGCCTGCCGTCAGCCGCCCTGCAAGATGCCTCCTGAGGTTACTCATATTTGTTACCATTTGGTATTGTCACACTATTCTGTCATACCGTTGCCAAACGCGCACTGCGTTAGGCGATCTCCTGGATTTGGGCTCAACCATTGTCGGACCGTTAGTGTAGTGAAATGCTCTAATTGTAAAGCCGGAGGTCTTGGATTCGATTAAATTAAATAATTGTGTGTTGAGCACGATCATTTGTTGTGTCTGGGTGCTATCTAACCATAATATTTTATCTATAGTATTTAGAAATATGTAAGTCTGTTTATCAGCTGTCTGGTTACTATGATACAGGCTCTGCGTAGTTTGGGTTCAGACTGCCGTGTGAGAGTTGTGTGAAGTCATTTTAATTATTATTGTTTTCTTTGTGGGTGGATGGGTGACGATTTCGTTTGCATATTTAAACTTCTGTGAGAAAGATGGCTGATCGGTTTTTCACTTTTATATTGTGTTTTTTAATTTAAATTCTTCGTTTAAGTCTGATCTTAGTCTCTAAGATAATCGACTCCTAAACATCGTCACTAAACAACTAATAATCTGATTTTGATATAACTAGTTTTAGTTGCAATTTGTTATTGATATTTCCCCTTTTATAGACTTTTTTATCTTTACATAGTATAAAACGAAGGCGTTTTTTTCTCTTGTACGCTTAGATTTTTCAATCTACGAAACAGATTTCAATGCGGGTTCACCAATAGAGAGTTATATTGTAGTGGAAAAAATCCGAGAATTTCAAAGATTTGTAATCTCAAGTCGTAAACAAAAAACATGTTTTTGTGCCCTTGCATTGCAAACGCTGGCTTAAATTTACAAGATAGATTAAAATAATGTACTACGGAGTTATATGTCTTAAAAAGATATAAAAAAAAGTTCGTGGGGCAGGTACGTTCGTCCTGTTTGGTAGCGCGCAGGAGCGGAGTGGGCTTATAAATATTGCATATAAAGATGTCCTGTAGTTAAAGTCTTATCATAATATTATTATATTTAATTACTCCACATTTACACCACATTAGTAATTCGTTAGTAGTCTCTACATTGAACCCGTGTGAAGCTGAGGCGGATCGCTAGTCCTATATAATTCATTTACAAGTCTTGAAACTTTTGACATATCAATCTAACCGTGGGAAAGGCGGGCTTGACAGGGTCTATCTCGACCGGATTGATACCACGGAGTTACAGAAAACCGGTGTTAATCAATAATCTTTCGTTGTATTACATCGAGCGAATGAGGTGAGGTGGTCGGCAGTCTAACTTACCCTCCCTGCATTTTGTACTATCTGTAACTGGTTATTTTGAAAAATAATGCATAGTTTTTTTTAGAGTTCTCAACTTTCTCATATTTTCAGTTGGAGCTGTGGGTACAATGCAACGAACTGAGCTCGGCTCGACTTCGAGCGCCAACCATGTCGGTACCCACTTTAGAACCGTCTCAAGTGTTGGCTGCTGGCGAAATGATCCCAGAGGCTGAATGAAGTAAACCTCTTCACTTGCCAGGCGATGATACCCGAATACACTCCAAGAGCGAGTGAGACAACAATAGGGTGTATATGCACGTGCAGTGAAGATTCAATCAGTTGATGCGCAGCCTACGCGCTATGCAGACGTTCTCAAAACAATGATTAAATGCTATTCTACCGATTGCAGAGCTAATCGGTTCATTATACGGTGTGCTTGGTGTGACTATTTTTCAAAGCGTATCCGTGGGATAAGCACAGGTGCTTCTGTATAACATAAATATATCTGTACTTATAAGTATTTAAATTCTGAATCTTAATAACTCTAATAGGTATTGGTTAATTGTTGTTTTGTGTTTGTTAGTAATTTATTTATATTTTTAGTCCGTTATAATTGTTTTAATCGTGTTAGTGTTTTAAAGAAACCAACGTAGAATCATGACATCGCATATAAATGTATATTTAAGTAATTTTGTTTGATGTTGTGGACTGTTATTCTGCACTTTAGCTATTTTTATTTATTTATTGTTTATAATAAAGAGAAATGTATTATTATAACTCTCTAATAAAGGTACATATAGTCAAAATATGTGATCCACTAGCTAAGCTAGGTTTAAATAATATATAAATGCATTTAAATAAGTGTGCATATTGAGTATTATATCAATACTTATTGATTTTTGGTATTGATACTTTAAATTTTGACATCAAATGAAAGAAAAACGACCATAGGTCTCTTGCTAGCAGGTTAGTAGGTACATCATGTATTAATTTAACTTTGACTGTAATAAATTGCAGGTCACCTTACAATTTAAGAAGACAAGACTTCATTAACTTTGCTGTGGTCATATGAATCAACACATTGTTTAGTAATGGCCTTATCACTTTACTGGTGTGAAGATAGATACGCATCGATGTTGTCTCGCTAGATATTAGCGGCCTGTTTTTATTGTATTAGATTTTGTGTGATAGAAATTATAGCTTGCCTGTGATAAATCACTACTTTGATTTGGCCATAGACAAAGATAAATGCCATCAAAACTGCTTTTTTTTTTATTTAGACCTTTCGCGATTCTGGCGCTAGCGCATTCATATTTCGCAGTGGTTTTGTAAATTAGTCACAGATGTGAAATCATATGATTGATAACAAGTCATTGTGATTTTATTCAATGCCCAATGATTATATGTATGGACTTAATTAGAGTCTTCACATCATTATTTGTGTTGAAGTGTCTGTTTATAAGCTTTTTGATTATTTTAAAAAGGTAAATTGTGAATGATAGTTGTATTTATGTGGGACTCGCCAAGTTTGTTGTATTAATGTTTGCGATCTTAATGGTAAATTTATTAAATAATTTACCTTCGTTTTTGTGTACAAAATATATTAATAAAAATAATAATAATAATAAAATATAATACTCAATGTGTTACAATAAAATTAAATTTTATCTATAAAATGTATATAATTTATGATTATTGCCATTATACAATTATGTAGCAAAAATAAAGTTTAAAACGAGTTACAAAAAGTTTCACTTCTTATGTAAAACTAGATTGTAGGCTACAAAAGTAGATTTTAGGTTTTTCAGCATTACTATCTATTAGTTAAGTGCAATTAGTCATTAAAACTAACTTTCCGTGTGGTGACGGATTAAGAATACAGAGTGTCACCATCCATATTCATTCCGTGGGTGTCGTAAAAGCCGAGTAAGGGAGCAAATTACGCAGGACCACAGCACTGAAAAGAGAAAGAAAACTTGACGCAAACCCTTTTTTTTTCCCGTGCGGAAATCCCCTCGGATACCACCTATCGGTGGCATGTCGGACTCGAACCGACTAAAACCGCACGCCGTCTCGGGTACTAATAGCCGGGGAACCATGTATACCCTAGAAAGGAAGTCCCTGGTGCCCCGACATACCTCGGGCCATCTACAACAACAAGTAGACGACCCCCCCCCGTGTGGGAACCCCATGTTCCCTCTGGTCCCTGGAAACGAGCGCACTTCGCAACGCGCTCGCCGCCACCCCGGCCTGCTTCTGCTAGGGTGACAGATGGCCTCACCTGTCACCCCCAGGCCTGCGCTTATGGAGGACGGAGGTCGTTCTGCAACGCAAACCCTATACCAACTTGTCTGGCTAACGTGGTATAGTAGGTCTAAACCTTCTTTCTAAGGAGAGGCCTATGTCCATCAGGGGACTATTAAAGGCTGTTGAGGAGTCATTGTGACTACCTATGTATGGAAGTTGAAGAGTACAAAAATAGAAGACGACTAAAGAACAGATGGATAACCTGCTCAGAAGCGCATATACTTAACTAGAAAGAGAGTAAACAGTGGAACGATAAAGAAGAGAATAGAAGGGAAGAAGAGTTTATATATTTTGTGTCAAAGTATGTCAATCTCTGTCTGTCTGTTACCTCTGTAAACCACTGAACTGCTTTAGATATAATTTGGTACAGAGATAGTTTGATTCCCGGAAAAGGACATAGGACATTTTTATCCCAGAAATCATCCTTTAAGAAGGTGAAATGGGGGGTGAAGTTTGAATAGGGAATCAATAATCGTTAAACCGATTTGGATGAAATTTTGTATAGACATGGTTTCATTCTTAAGAAAGGATATGGGCTACTTTTTGCCGCGATAACCGAAAGATACGCGGGCGGAACATAAGTTAGTATACCACAAAAAGCCGTAATCTGCGAAAGTACCAATTTATTACTAGGATTAAGGCTTACATCACGTTACGACCATGATGATGAGAGGGGGGACTTTTTGTGGTTGCTATGAGTATTAAGAGCTTAGAATTACCTTCTTATTGGAGTCACTTGGAGTCACCTATTAACAAACAAGGAAAAAATAAGGCATGTTAATCAGTCAGCTGCGTGTCGAACAAACATTATGTAACAAACTTAAATAGACCTCTGTAGACAAAATAAACGGTATTTGTTCACACAGTTGCTTCAACTGAAATAACAAATTCTGAATACCTACTTTGTATTAATTATGTACCTGTGTACGTGTGATTAAGCTTCAAAACAAATGACGCCATCTTTTATGTAACACATTTTTGCATAAACGTCACTTGTTGACGTGAAGTACAGACAAAGAACTATTTATTTACTTATGGGCAGACGAACAGACGGGTCACCTGATGGAAAGTGACCATCGCCGCCCATGAACGACTGCAACTCAGAAGTCACAAACGCGTTGCCGGCCTTTTAGGAAGGAGTACGCTCTTTTCAAGAGTACTACAGGTATAAGGTCGGTGTGGGAGATAAGAATTTGAAAGGTAGTTTAGTAGATTGCAACACACTTGTGCTGCAAGAATTAGGGAAGAACCTACTAGTTGGTAAAAAAGGGATAATGAACTGGCGATTTAAACAGTCTATTTCATGATAAGATTAATCTGATTGATTGAAACCTCCCATTTTTTGAAGGAGACTCATCTCTTAGTAGTAAAATCTATCCATATCTACACATAGACATAAACCTACTTAGATAAACTTTTCAAAGTTAACCTTGGAAATATTAGACAGTAGTAAAATACAGATAAATAAGTCGATAATAAGTCGAGTTAAATACAGATTATATCCAGTAACAAAGACAACTATCATTTCGCCAATATTCTTTGAACTTTAATAGCGTCAAACGACCCCGTGTAATACTATAATGTAACTAATAAATAAATACCTAGTACTAAACAGATCACCTGTATTCTACGTGCCAGTAAACAAAACGGTAAGATACCTAATAATATTATCTGATACATTCCGTCACCGGAATACCTGCGACGTTAGGTAACCGGGTTAGACAAAAATATTTTTGTATGCTCCCAACTTCGGACACGGCATGGAATAATGCAACTTGTTGACAATAAACTGACGTAATTACGTAAATAATTATGTATAAATCCGTTTCGTCGTACTTTAGATCGGAAAAATTATGTCTGGACCTATATTTAGACTTATCATCATGCGTATTACGAGTATTCACTATACATATTTTATGTATAAAGTTAAATGTATCTGTATAGTGTATATACATGTGCCCAGAGACTAGTACGGAAACAGTATATATTGTATACATATTTATGGACATTTGAATAGTTTGAGGACAGTCTCCAAACTATTCTTGTACCTAATGTATAGAATAAAAAGCCTTCTACATTCTACAAAATTTTATATCCCCCATCTATACAAAAAGTCTCGGAAGAAAACTTTTTAGCCCCAAACTTTACGTTGAACATATATGCGTATATTATTGTATTTATTTTGTATTTATGTATTTATTATTTGTATTTATGTACGTATATAGTAGTATATGTATGTAAGGAAGAGCCTTGCGAGCTACAAGTAGTGTAGCAATTTTATTTAAAAGCTATAACATTTTAATATGATGTTTATAATTTACTAAAATTACTATGTTATAGGAGTGTCAGTGTCATCACAATCAATGGTACCAGATACTCACAATAATTTCGACTTTAGACTGGGAAAAAATTAACAATTGCAATAAATTTACAGTTGTCCAATTAATTTTTAAATTCATGTCTAGAATAAAAAGGAAAATAACATTTAATGTGTCTGACAATGAGGCCTGATGATGTCTGAATATCAGATAAAAGAAGAAAGCCAACCTTGGCCGAGTTCCCTACATAGATGTTATGATGTTTAAAATACTTTTCACGCTAAAATTAGTTAAATATCGTCTTGAGAATGTCTTCGAGGTTACTTTAAAATTGATTCATTTGTAAAATAATATTTGGGACGTTTTTAACCGACTTTAGAGAAAGGAGGAGGTAATAAATTCGGCTACATTTTTTATGTGTTACCTCAGAACTGAAGAAACTAAACCGATTCGAAAATGATATATATTTACGGTTTAGTCACATTCAAAGTTGATGAACAAAGCCACCACTAAGGGTAATAATTAAGGAAAGAAGAATACAGTTTATTGCAATATTTATTACACATACAGTTTATGAATTATCTTTATTAGTGGTATTAGGTAAAAGAAAATTTATGATAATATCTGAAAATGAATACTCATATTCAATTATTACCAATTATGAATAAATTTGGTTTAAATAACTTTTTTTCGTTGTTTGAGCATTTCTTTTTTAGAGGCACGTGGCTAAGTGGTAACCGAGTAGGTATACACATTGCAAAGTTAAGCAATTCAAGCCAGGTCAGTCTATGGACTGGTGACCATTCTTAACATATTAAGACCCCTCCGTGCCTCGTAGAGCACATTAAGCCGTCGGTTCCGGTTGCCATAAGAACATCTTGGGCAATCGTTACGGGTAGTTACCCCTTTTAATTATTTTTTTCCGTGTGGCAATCCCCTCGGACACCACCTATCGGTGGCATGTCGGACACGAACCGACTAAAACCGCACGCCGTCTCGGGTACTAATAGCCAGGGAACCAGGTATACCCTAGAAAGGAAGTCCCTGGGGCCCCGACATACCTCGGGACGGGTAGTTACCCCTAAAAAGTCCGACAACAGTCTTTCTACAGACCTTCGATAACTTGGGTTGTGGAGGTCTGATGGCGTTCACTCTACGTAAAAAAATCAAAGTTCAGCCGTATCATAGTAGACTTCAAACCGACCACAATCTGGTTTAGGGAAAAGGCTCGTCGTGGTGGTCACATCTGCAACCAGCTTTGGTCAATCGGTCGTCCCCACTGCTCCTTCACGGCAACGCGCGACCCCATACTGCGCAACAGACAGTCTCCAAGCTGCAAGAGCTGGGGTTGGAAGCTCTCCCTCATCCGCCATACTCACCAGACCTTGCACCTACCGACTATTACTTTTTCCAAAATTTAGACAACTTTTTAGTGGGTAAAAAATTCAATTCCCGAGAGGCAGTACAAAATGCCTTTGAAGAGTTTGTTGCCTCCAGTCCAGCTGATTTTTACAAGAAGGGCATCAATAAACTGCCAATGCGTTGGCAAAGATGCGTCCATTGCATGGGTGATTACTTCGAATAACAGAACTAAAAAAGTTTGAAAAAATAAGTACTTTCACTTATTGCATACAAAACGGCAATTTCATAGGTAAAGACCTAATATTAATGCTAAAAGCTGAATACTTTTTTACTTTTAGTTTGGGACATGTCTAGTTTGTGAGAATAGCGATGGAACTGAAAATTAATAAAATCAATTTGTGATAATGAGTAGTGCTGTCTGTCAGAAACTACTGACGGTGTCTTTTTCAAACAAAATGGCGTGATTTATGACCGTTTGCATAAATATCTAGTTCATTATCATCATCATCTGATTACCATTCTCAATGCGCGATTGGTTTTATTCTTACATTCTCCTCTATCACTCGTCAGCTCACTGTTTACTCCCTTTCTAGCCATATTCTCTTTCACGCAGTCCATCCATCTTTTTTTTGGTCGTCCTCTTACATTCGTCAACTTCCGTACCTAAAACTTTCCACACTACGCATAACACAATACTTGCTCATCTCTACATAATATCTATATGTATCATCCTTATAATCATCATCAACTGCCTTTCATAGCCCACTGATGGACATAGGCCTCTTTTTAAAAAGGTGGTTTTGGCCTACTACACCACGCTGGCCAGACGGGTTGGTATAGGGATTGTGTCAAGTTTTCCTTCTCTTTGCAGTTCTATTGTCCTGCGTAGTTTGCTCTCTTAGTCGGCTCTTACGACACCCATGGGAAGAATAGGGGTGGTGACGTATTCTTAATCCATCACTCACGTATGGACCTATATGCATGTCTAGTTCGTATATAAATTTCGTCGATATTTTTTATGGCATAGGAAGGTAAACGAGCAGGCGGGTTACCTGATGGTAAGTGGTTACCGCCGCCCATGGACCCCTACACTCAGGAGTCACAGTGTTTGAAGCCAAAGTAGCGATGTGATCATAAAATCTTCTCGCTTGTGCAACAGCAGTAGTGAAAACCCGTTCTGTATCTATATCAAACACAAAAAGTCGAGATTTTCGTATTGCTATGTCGATAGGGTAGGCGTTTGTTTGACTCTCCAATAAATTATTGCATTTTCTAATTTCTTCTTTTCTTGGTCAACAATACTTAGTAGTTGGGACTTAGAGGTTATACTTATTAGAAATTTTATGATAGTTTGTAAGGTATTCAGAGTGTAATAAGGTAAAACTCACTTTTCTATTTATGGCATTAAGTCGGGACTAGCAAGTTAGAGTTAGAAGCAAAATAAAAGAGTACAGTTAGAAGAACAGTCGAACCAAGAGCGCTAAGAGGAAATCTCGATCATAGGTTGGGCCTGTGCTGTCCGAATGATTAATAATAGTTAAGTCATCATCATCATCATCCACAGCCTCCAATAGTGCACTACATGCTGGCCACACGGGTTTGTTTCAAATTTTCCTTCTCTTTGTACTGCTCTTGTCCTGCAGACACTCCGTATGTTAATCCGTCATCACAAGGACTACTTATAAATCCATTTTGTTTTTAATTGGCCGATGGGGCCAAAAAAGGTCTCGAGTGGCGACCGCGTACCAGAAGGTGAAGCGTGGGCAGGTGGTCCGACTACGTGGTAAGGGTCGCGGAAAGCAGCTACGTATATCGGAATCGAACCGACAGCAGACATCATGTGCAAATGTGCTGTTAATATCTCATAAAATTTTCAACAGCGCCTAAAAAAACGGCGAGTTGTACAAAATCGATGTATTATTTTATCAGATTTTGTTAGTCATAAGTCCGAGAAAATATGAGTGTAGGGATTAAAATTAGCCAGCCCTGGTATGAATCATAATTATTTACTATGATTCAACAGCATAATTTCAACAATATTATTCATGTTATGTAATGTGTGCTCGCACAACGGAAGCTACATTTTTTTTATTTATGCGATTCTGTAAACAAGGAATTGGGTTTCAAAATAAAATATATCATATAATTGTAATGTACACAATTTATTCATATCGTATAGTGTTTCTTATACAAAGATAATAAATTGTAAAATCCTCTTTCACGATCCGAATAATAAATAAATACTTAGCTTTAACTCCATTCAGTCCTATCACATGCCCTTTAGAGCAATACTAGGAGTTCACTTACAATATAGGATATAAGTCTAGCTTTATAGGATTTAATACAATTTAAAATAGTACACCTACCATGTGTCCTCGACGACTTTTCAGTAAGTAGTCGTCTCGAACGCATGGTAAAGTGCTGAATGTATCTGGAGAATGAAATCGTCACATTTTTACTAACAAGTGTACAAAAATATTCCTATAGGTAGCTATTTATAAAGGTAGGTAGGTATGTATTGTCAAAGGCACTGGTATATTCTTATCCTGGGTAATCAATACATCTGTTACTATAGATTTATGTAGTACAACTATCTCTTACAAGTTATTTTCGATTTCTCAACAGCTATTACTAGAGGATCTAGCATTTTTTGGTTTGGATCTTAACGGGCATTCCGAAACGAGAAATATACATAATTTTTATAAATAACCATCTAAGTTGGACTTATATTTACTTAGATCAAAACTTACGCGCTACTTATAAGAACATAGTCTTTAGCCATCGATTTTTCACTATCGAGTCTTCGAATAGATGAAACACATCTACTACTACAACTTATATTACATATACATACATAGCTCATCACTAAAAATGCAATTTTTTATATCCTATCACTGAGTAGACGAGTTTTATCTGTTCGAAAAGTCTGTAAACCGAACATAATTAGTCTCATTTTCATAGGACGCGGGTCCACGGAGGCGGCGCAAGATGCGCGTGCGCCTGCGACGACCTACCACTACGTCTGTCTACCCTACACAGTTCAATACACCAACCACGACATACAAATACTAGGAAGGATTACAATTAGGCGACGCGGCTTAGCCGCTTACAGCTGCACAATATGATACAAATATAATATGTTCAACTCTTTACAACGTGGTAACTTCATCTACTAGGGAGGGGTAGGAGACAGTTTGTACGAACGAGTTCGACACGAGAGCGCAGCGCGGAGACGCGTGGCGCGGGCGTCTGCGCGGTCCAGGCGCAGCGCGGCGGAGGGGCTCGGGCGCCAGGGCGCTCGCCTCCCGCTCAGTGCTCGTGCGCACGCGCCTTGTTCTGATGCATCATGTTCTTGAGCGTGGCTACCTCAGTTGCAAGCCGCGCAAGTTCTGCCTTCAGATGCGCATCCTCTTCCTCCCCTAGTCTGTCTTCGGGCCGCGCGGGCCTGAACTCTGCACCAATGGAGATGCCAGAATCGCGCTCATCACTGGAGCCTTCACCGTCCCAGGAGGGAGAGGACCGGGGTCCAGGTTCCTGTTTTATGTGCTGGAGGGAAAGCAGGGCACTAGCGACATCCTTGTCGCCGAGGTGAGACTTATGACGAAGTTTCAGAGGGAGCCCATTGTGCGTACTCTCTGGTGCGTACGGCTCGGTGGTCTCGTCCCCTGAGCCTGATAGAGACGAAAGCTCATAGGGAGATGGGACGCGGCGAGATCTGGACAAATTGAGAACGGAGCCTGGAGGCTCATAGTGTGCTGGATGAGGGTAGTACGCCTCAGGTGCCGGCAGCCTCTCCTGGTAAGGTTCAGGAGCACGCTGCGGTGGTGGTGACGGCGGAGATGCAGGTTGCGCCGGGGGTGGTGGAGGCGCTGGAGGGAATAGAGCACCCGGAGACAGTTTACTTCTCTTTGTTACACAAAGGACTTGATCGCATGTTGGCAAAGTCGCCAATACTTGGTCTATGCTAATGAGTGTCTCGCCGCATATGCCATATTTTTCCTTTATAGCATCCAACTGTGCTTTGAGCACGTGGTTCTCCTTGGATAGTTCGACGACGCGCTGCTCCAATACCATGTCATTGAAACGACGTTTTTCACGGGAACGTTTGGCAGCCTCGTTATTCCTCCGCCGGCGATCCCAGTAGCCATCGTCCTTCTTGTTATCAGGAATAAATTCCCGTTGCTTACGCTGACCGAAGAATTCCTTGCGCTTGTTAAAATCGAAGCTATTGTAGTCATTTGGATCATCAGGGCTGCCTTGAGATGCGGGGCCCTGATCCATGGGGAAATGAGGAGAGACGGAGAGGCGACCTCTTGGTGGCATTGGCTGGCCACGCGACTGCGGTGGCACAGGTCCTAAACCTCCACCGCCCGGACCTCCGAGCAACTGCTGCTGCTGACTCAAGATGAATTCGGCAACCATGTTTCGGCGGACGGCAACTGGTCCGCACGAATCTTCACTGTGGTTCTGTAACAACAAGAAAAGTTACGTTAGCTACAAAAAAAAATATGACAAAACATTGCAGTTGTCTAAATAATGTCGGTGTTACTAAATAGCGCGGTTGCAATAACAGTGTCGCAAGATCCCGCGCTGCAACTTTGCACGTGGATCACCTTTGTGAAATAAAGTTGCCACATTTCAACGCTTTTTACTCCCTTCATGTTAGCAAAACTCATTAATAAGTCGAGTTTCTTAATTTTAGCGTATTACAAATGCGAAGTTAAGGTTACACCGGATTTCTTCCGTTACAAAACAGACTTCCTCCCTGTTGCCGAATTGGCGTTCTAATTGAGAAATGTAACATCAATGGTTATAAAAAAACGATGTAATAGAAAAATAAATCAATTAGAATTTAATTGATTAAAAAAATAATTATGAAATGATCATTTAGGAATTAGTATTCCTTAGTTATTGGGAAACTTGTCTTAGATATTTTTCTAATTATGGCAGTGACCCCGCTATCACGTTGTCTTAATGTAGATCTAAATTTATTAACGTACGAGTTTATTTCTATAAACTATGGGAGTCATTTACCTTTACGTAACGCAACTATTCTGTTACTATCGATTTACTTAAATCACAAATACATGGTTTATCGTTGAATTATGTGTATCAAACAAGTACAGGAAGTGCAAAAAAATGTACACATTGTTATCAAGTTTATTATCCGTCATTAACAATGGTAAGGATCATTTCTAGTACCTATTGTGATTGGTCGAGTTTGATTGTTTTTTGTAAGATTTTAAAACAATGCTAGTTGTAAAGAATTGTGCATTAAAAAAAGCCGATCACGTTCTGTTACACGCGGTCGATGCAACGTGAGGTAGAAATTTTAAATAAAATTGTGAGAGAACAGTCTGTTCTAAATTTAATTTTATATTTTTTTTTTAAATATTTATTGCATTTTCAGTAACACTAAAATAGTGGAAATTTTATAGATGCGTTCCGTTTCACGGTACGACATGATTGGTGTCAGTGGGGCAGGCCAGATGCACAGGCGCCCGTTACACCGTCTAACTGTTAAAATATACGCGCCAACTTTAATTAGTATGCATTGTTGGTTAAACTGGCAGAGTACGTTTAAAAATGGGAATTATTTATAAAATGGAATTATAGGATTATTTGTGGCTTCCTTTGAGAACCCACAAAACTAGTGTGACATGAATATTGACAACGGTATCTTATACATCAGTAAAAACTTTTTATTTAAATATCATATTGTTCCGTTACTTCGATATTACTATATTGAACAGTTAGAGATAATGTTATTCAAACATTTTTTGTCGGTCGCGCCGTTCGAACCGCCTACTTTTTATTAGGTGTTAATTTAAAACAGTATTCATACTCAGATGAGAAGATATACGTAACTGTTTTACTATACTTTATGGACATTTAAACTTGATTTCGTTGTTTATGGTTGGCCACTTGTGAATTGCGACATCGTTGACCTTCTGCCAAATCCAAATGTTTAAATTTCGAAAGTCTTAATGGACTGGCAATTTTATAATAGGAACGAACTTCTTTTACGATGCGAATTATGATTATTTGCTCCATTTGCAAAGATTAACAGAATACCCTGTCCGTTATAGCGTTGACGCTTGGCGGAGCACAGACAGTTAAACACCGTTTTCCAACCGAACTGTTACTATTTAGCATTAATAATAAGAATATGGAGTAACCTTTATTGAAAAAAAATTTGTTTATGGCACGTACCGTTTTTGATTTACGTTTTTTTCATGTTTGTGGCATTTACCAGCAATTCTTAAGACCATACCAGCTTTAGGTAAATAAAATTACTGACATTTTTTATTCACCAACAATGAAATCATAAAAGAATAAGCGTATCGTGTTTTAAATGTCATTTTGACAACTTAATTATGCTACATGTTACACACATCTAACCTTGACTATCGCATAGAAAGAAAAAAAAACATTTAACCGCTAAAATTATGACGAAACACTAATAGCTGTTTCATAACAGTATTACGAGTTTTAGAGACCTGCGATGAGCACAAAAAACAGTTTTCGGTTGTACCGTACAGTCCCAGTTTTTGGATAACGGGTTGTGGCGCGAGAAAGTACATGATTAGCGATAACTGTCGATTGTCAAAATCCGCTTGATTGTTGTTAGCGATATTGTGCAACCGTTAGCTATCGCAATGATTTGATAATGACCGTCAAACCATGGGAATTTTTTGTGGATCAAGTGGTTGATATTCATTTCTAGAAATTAAAATTAAAAGTTTGAACTTTTACGTATGCTTATATTTACTATTCTTACTAACAGAAGTAACAAAAAATATATTCCGTTAGTAGTACTAGAAGCAACTCCCACGTGGATATAGGTTTAATATAGCCGCGTGCAATTCACACACGTGTAAAATTACTTTCAGGCTCTTTTTTAAAGGTTTCTGATATATGCAATGCATCAATACGTGTCACGTGTCCATATTTGATAATTCAGAATTCATTTGCAGTGCATTATGTATAATTATTTGCATCAATTTTACTGGTGGTTGTCACTTTTGTGTCAGTATGTTCAGTACTGCGTCGTAACCAAGTTCTTCTTTATACAGCCAGCCTTTGTTTAATGACATGTTATAAAAATGTCATTCTTTTAATTTAGAAACACCTGATATTTAATCGTTCTAGATTTTTTAGTCGGTTCAAACCTGTCCGTGTTCTTTATCAAACTATGTTCTCCTTATCATGATGTCAGTGACACACGGTACAAAGTTCTACATAACATGGTGACAACGATCCAACGACATATTTTGGCATTTTGACGATTAATAAAATTTCTACAGCTTTAGGAAATGTATAGCTCTATTTGAATACTTCACGAAGTGCTGACATTCGTTGCATATACAATACACTTGGCTGCATACAGAGGAACACCTTTGCGTCACAGAGTCATAGACAACACGTGCTTTGCCACGAGTGGATAATGATTATGTCATTAGACCGAGATATGTATATAAATTAAATTATTATATGTTCTAAATCGAGTACATCGATTATATTAATTAAAAAGTTTTTAATCAAGTTTAAGGACCACCTGTCATTAGAAGTCAAAATTTATTTTGAAGTCCAGTCATTTAAAAAATAACAAAAAAAATAATGCATTATCTGTAGTAGTTCTATTTTTAAATGTTATGTCATTGACACGTATCGCAACCTTATCGCTGGTGTTGTATTTTTGTTGCTTTGAATTTGGAGAGTCTTATCGGTGCGCCGTCGTATTTCCCGAGTCTTGTTTGACATGTCAAAGTTCACAGGCTCGTTTAGCAATGTTGTCTGTGACTGACCTTAAGGCACACTGCCATGGTTGTCCTACCTGTAAAAGGCACGTGCAACGTCGCGCACCGGTCACGCGGCCTCTGACACGTGTGCGCTCTTGAACCTCACTTTACCTCACGTTGTTGCGCAACGAACCGACCGCGCACGTTTGCTCTTCTCCAGTTATATAAACTGCAACGTGATCCAAGAACGTGAAATTAAATTATTAATCGACTTCAACTTCTGTACCCTTGGCCTTCAACTTGAAATCGTAAAAAATTGCGCGAATTTTTAGACGATAAAATTTCAAAGTGCCTATTGTATCTACGCTTTGTGTACGAGTTAGTGACTATCTAAATAGTATACTTAAAGGTTTGTTTTCATGAAGATTGAAGACATGTAAAGACGATCAATTTTACCATCAAATTTTGGACAAAGGAATGTTCCAATTCGCAAAAAATGTGTAGTATTTAATTCATAACCTATTTATAAAGATTAATTTAAATTCTTTACTAATAATATGCATTGAAAATAACTAAAAGAGTTATTGATGTACTTTAAATAATATACATATCATAACCGCCATCTTGGAAAAAGTAGAGAAAGTAGTACAGCGGTAACTTTCCACGCGCTTGCCGTTTATTGCGCGGGAAAAGTGGGACGTCCGCCATGTTTGATTTTACGGTTTGCCGCCAAGAATGAAATGTTAGAAATATTTCAAGCTTAATAATTTTCCAGCCGTTTGATGTTTTCGCTTTATAGACGACTCTAATTGGTCGATGATTTCATTTAGGAATTCCATTAACATTTTTCATTCAAAGAAAGTATAAAAAATACTGAAAATAAATAACGCCCAAGCTGTTTCAGTATTACAACAATAATAAAGGTTATTCCATTGAATTGTTCCGGATGGAACTGCATTGATAGTGAGAAATAGTTAGAAACCGCTTACATAATATATTGTTGAAGTTCATGTTGGCGCCAACAGCTCATTGTCTGTGGACATGAATTATTTCAAGATGCGATGTTTTGAAAACTTCCTATGCGCCCAGTCATATGTTATGTCTTAGCACAGTCGGTTGTATCCTTAAGTTATTTTGACTTACCAGCTTTGAGGTCGTGTCTTCTGGATACGTTTCAAACATTTTTGCGACGTAAACTACGTATACTTGACCGATTTTTCGCACTGTGCGCAAGGCCTAATTAAAAACGGGAATCGGGCTATTTCGGCGCCGTCGGCCTCTATCGGTCGACTCACGATAATGATTTGGTGTCAAGGCTACGTTTCGTAACTCCGCTAGTAGTAATAAAGGTGTCAAGGTTGTTCCTCTTTTCCGGTTAAAATTGTCTTTTCAAATAAAGAAGATAAGAATGATAACATTTGTTTGGGTGAATCAGTTTCAATAACGAAGACCCAGTTACTTAGCCCTGCTCTATACCTGCTAATTGCTATATTATTAAGAAACGCTTAACCTATTTTCCGATGTGAGTCCATCGAGTACAGTTACTTGTAAGTAGTATTACATAACAGTTCGAGGAAATACAGACGCGTAATATTTAGCTCCAGTACTAGTTTAGTTATAGATAGTTTAGTCATTATTGTTACTATTGGTAAATACAATAAGTGTCCGTCTATGAAGAAAATATATGTCACAAAAAAGATAAACAACACTTTCGGAGAACCGGTTGCGTCAGTTTTATCAATCAAACATTTAGGTTCTCATATGTCCACGTCCACGTCACTGGTCCACTTCTCCGCAATTGGTCGTGCACGTTCACGTGCTCATCACTAAGTAGGTTACAGTTACGCAGCAAACGAGATAAAAAAAATAGGCCAAGTTATCTTTGCTTGTCCTCGCGCCGATGAAATTATCGGCGATGTTATTGCGCGTAAAAAAGTCCGCTTACGTAACCCCTTCGTTGTATAAAATACATATAATCCAGGCAAATAAATCGAGGGTTATACTCCAATGTCGTTCTTTTTTAACCCTGGACAATATAAGTAGTGTTATCGTGCTAATATTTACAATAGTTTTGGGTTAATGAGGTGATGGTCTCGGTACGTTTACAATGCTATTTATTGTAATGTGACTCAACAATGATATGATATCGATAAATCTATGTCGTGTTATTTGATTAAATACATGGTTTGGCCTTAAGGTCTTCGTTATTACTTTCCGTACGACCTTGCGTTAGTTCCGTATTACATCATATACTTATAATGCATTTCGTGATAAATCTATTTATTTGTTAGTTACGGCTTTGTGTTCCATACCACGGTCGGCGTTGGTCGAACTCTTGTAATTTTTAATACATTTCAAATTACGTGTACGGAAGCTAGTTCTCTAATAATAATTACAATTGTAAACTGTACAATTGGTTCGACACGATCGAAACTTTGATTTTGACCTTAATTTGGATAAAATAAACATTAATGGTCAACTAGTTTTCGACCGGGGTTTTGCTCGCTTTGAAATTGATTTCATCAATTTTTTTTAGAATTAAAGTTACTATTCTAATGCTATAAGATATATCCGTGTCAAATTTCATCCAGATCCTTTTAGCTGTTCTGGTGTAATTTAGTAACAACCTATCCATCTACTTTCGCATTTATAATATTGAAACGTTCTCATAGTCTATACTTATTCGATAAGTTGTTTATTTTACATTGCAGATAATTGCGCAATAGCCACCCCAGGGACGCTGCGTCATGCATCGACACAGAGTGACCTTTAGGCTGATCGATTGCACTCAGACTGCTGCCTGTCTGGATTTTCTAGAACAGGTGGTGGAAAATACATGCTTTTATGAACTCTTTGGAACATTTTATTGCGGTTTTGTTTGTGGCCAGTAATATTATTACAAATAGAAAATTAAATTTGGAATGTACTTGCAACTTAATCAACAGAATTTAAACAAAAAAAACCCAAGGGCATTTTAAAAATTTTAGTTTAAACACAGAAAAAAAAATGAATTCTTCGTTTTAAAAAGTAAAAATATATTTTTTTAAATTATTTTTCATAAAATAGAATTGCAATTCATAAGCATCGGAAAAATATGTAAAAAATATTATCCTATGCGATTATATGCGTTTAATATAAATTTGTAATTAAGTTTGAAAGTTATTTTTATTTTCAAGGGTTCCTCATTTTAATAGGTATCTTTTCTTTGTGAAGTCCATTAAACTATTTAAATTCGTCTTAATATTTTTTTAATTGCAAGACTATACACTTTACGCTATTAGCAAAACTAGTTTCCGTACATCCGCGGGCGAATGCACGCCGGATCGGAACCTTGAACCAGTTGTGTAAGCGACTTACAATGGCTTACGACAGAACCGTGCCAGGCGCTGCTTACGACACCAGCAACCAACGCAATCCCACAATTAAATAAAATAACCCTACAAGGCATCATTAGTGTTTTTTAATAATTACAAAATTTCCGCCACTATTTCCTTTTCATTATCAAGAATTTGCAAATTTTAGTGACATAAATAAATCATCGTACATTTATCAGATATCGAGTCAATTTATTAAAACATTATCTAGATAAACGAAACAGGACAGTCCCTGTAAACAACCGTAATAAGAGTTACTTGTAATTTACAAACTGTGACGAAAACATTACCGAGGAAGCAGAAACGCAAACAAAAGATTCAAAACAAAGTCAAGCGGCGAGGGCCGTCATTGAGAAGTTTCAAGAAATGTAAAAATTCAACAAATGAAATGATTAACATTGCGTGCGTTTTGGCACGAAGCTCGGAAAACATGAGTAAACAAATTTGAACGAGAAGTCAATGACTCGGACGAGGAAAAGTCGTAAATCACGGACCAGGTGTTTCAATTTTCATAAATTCCAATTGAATCACTTCATCACTGGGTTTTGAATTTGAATTTCAAATTTGGAAAATTTTAGAACTTCAAACTCTAACTAACGTTAACAGTTTTAAAGTTTTTTTTAAATGCGCATATAATTTAACTTTCCATTTCTAGCTGTTTGGTCAGTGTTTGTTTTAATTGATTTTTTTTTAAATAAATATATGATCATACTTTTTATTTATTTGGTTGTATTAACGCGAGGGAACCCTATGATTATTTGATGATTTGAAGGTAGTCTAATAGTTATCTTTGTTTTCTTTTGCTATTGGTGCGACTTGTATTTTTTCAAGAAAAATCAAGTTAAAAAATACAGAACATTTATTAAAAATAAAACAGATACTTCAATTAGCAAGAAATACTTACAAAAATATTTGCGGTGTTTGTATACTCCTTGTCCGGAATTATCCAATTTGTGGGTACAATATCATAATCCACAAAACAGCGATGCACAACCGTTCTATGGTTCACAGTTAGTTTTCAAAACAGTAAATATTACAAATAAAATGTTTCACTCCCACTTTACACGTCCTGAATTAAAATTTGTCACTATCACAATGTTGTTATGACGAAATATCCACTGCGTATGGCGCTGTGTAACTCCACTCGCTTGGACAGGTCTTTACTCAACGAACTGTAGAGTGCGACTAAATTTTGTAGTGGGGTCGTCTGACTCCCAGCCTGCAGGCACGCGCACACTGACAAACTGCCGCTGTGTGAGTAACCTTACGTTTGTGTGAGTGTATTGTTTGCATGTGTGGATATTTTACGTAACTTACCCTGACTCTGTAGTGTAATCACTTTAGACGGTATTGAGTCAAATGTAGTGGCCGATTTTTTAGCTAATTCTCGATTGAGTCATGAATTAGTGGCATTTGAATTTTCCAAGAAATAATTTAATCGATTGATAAGCTTGTTAAGGTTTAGTTTGATCAATTCCGTGGTGTAATATAGTCTAGGTAAGATTTAACAGTTTTACGTTTTAGAAACGAGGTTTAGCAAGGCGTAGATTTTTAAATTGGTCTTGATTACGGTAACTATTTTAATATTATTGATCTATTAATACCGTTAGCAAATGCACAGTTTATTAATACAATAAGTTTCTTTTTTTTGCAATTTTTATTAAATTTAGGTAAGTATAAAATGTTTTGCAAAACTAATATGTTTTTGCAACAAATCCAAAGATTGTTTATAACGATGTTGTTTTCGATATTATTTTTCATTACGTTTTGAATGTGTAAACATGATAATAATATTATCGGCGTAATGACACTGTCTCGACATCACAATTTTTATATCATTTTATTTTTAGAACGCACATCAGTCATCACCGCATCATTGTTTGTACATCTTTTCGAGGTTAATTTTAGATTTATTTTTATTTATTAATGGTTTTATATGACCTTTATCTTAATAGGAAACCTACGTGTGTTGCAAATTAATTACACACATTGTAGTAATATTGAATAAATTTTATAAATATGCTTAATGTTTTTGTTTACGTGTGTATTGTTCCAAGAAAAGTTCGTGGTAAGCGATACGTCACCGTTAATGCGTATTAAAATGATTTCGGACTATTATGTGGGCTTTGGGGAAGTTTTTAATTCTGATACGTCATCGTTTAGGAATTACAAAGAATTTAGAAAATATACGTCACTGTTTTATGTTGTTATGACTCATTCTTATGTGGAGTACTTGACTATCATAACGGTTTCTATGGTATAGGGCAAACAAGCACACGGGTCACGTGATGGTAAATGACTATCGAAGCGCATAGACACCTGCAACTAAGAGTCACAGGTGCACAAAATAGGGTTCGGTTTAAGCCGACTGCGACAGAAGGAGTGTTATGTTTTTCGAAAGAAATATATTTACACAATATCACACATCAACAGCCTTTCGTAGTCCACTGCTAGACATAGGCCTCTCCTTTAAAAGGAGGTTTTGGCCTACTATACCACGCTGGCTAGACGGGTTGGTATTTTCCTGCAGTGCTGTTGTCATGCGTAGTTTTGCTCACTTAATCGGCTCTTACGACACCCACGGGATGAATAGGGGTATATATTTACATACATAATGTAAATATATTTCTTTGGCACGCTCTGTAGCCTAAACGACTTGTTCATTTTTATACGTTTGAGGTGAAATTTGACGGTTTGTAAATGTTAAGTAAACATTTTCGTTTTTCGTTTCGTTTTTTGGTTTCTTTTTTCTAAAATTAGCTTGTTTTTTGTTTTGGTTCTGTATAGAAGTATGTTCTTTTTTTATGTTTCTAAATTGTAATTTATTGGTTTGAAGGCGCTGATCTTTAAGGGAATCGGCTAATTTATTGTGTAAATTACTTTTATTCTTAAATATAAATATTATAGATTTCAGAAATAGAAGAAGAATCAGAATATAGAATCAGAAATATAATAGTAAAATACCTATAGTGTGTTTCTTAAAAGTTTATGCAATGAATAAATGTAAAATCATGTGAAAACATATCAATGCCAAGGACTCGCGAATATTTTTCCATTTTTTATTGTATGACTGTATAATTTATTATCCATTTTATTTTATTCTGGATTTTGAAATGTACTTATTTGAGAGGGGTTACAATTATTTATGTAATTTTTGTAAATTATAATATAAAAATATAAATTGAAATTATTATGAACTTAAATAATTTTTGGTATTACATATATAAATATACTGATATTAATCTATTCTCTATTTCCACTAAAAACCAGTTCGACGACTTTTGGCCTCAGATATCCTGCTCTGGGTGGTATATTGCTTATCATCGAGTGAGTGACCTCACCAGAAGCCTAAAAGATTCTACCTGGGGATGGAAGTGGCCACAACAGCCAGTAATTCATTTGAGTCTCTTGATCACCAGGTATCCACGGGTGGAGGTAGCCACTATCTGGTGACCCGTCTGTTTGTTTCCCCCCTCTTATTAGATAAAAAAGAGAAAGTAATTATTAACTGCAGATGGCGGTGTTATCGCTTTCTATTCAAAATTGGTGTGGTTCTAAACAAACCTGTGTGGTAATAGATTAACAATACGGAGTGACCACCCCTATTAATTCCGTAGGTGTCGTAAGATCCGATTAAGAGAGCAAAATACGCAGTACAACGGCACTGTGAAGAGAAGGAAAACTTGACACAAACCCTATACCAACCCGTCTGGCCAGTGAGGTATAGTAGGCCAAAAGGTCCTTTCTAATGAGCTATCAAAGGCTGTGGATTGATAATACAAAATTAAATAGCATTATAACATCCTGTAGAGTCGGATTGGTGGGCAGTAAGAAATAAGTGAATAATCATTAGGTAACAATTTGTAATAAAATTATATAATTCATATTAGTTTTCTGGTTATTATTTTCCTTTAGTATCATTTGGTTGTGCTATTATTATAAACTAATTAAATTAAAATTTAGTTTTTATGTATTTCCCGCTACATTTGAGTTATTATTAATGCTCAAATAGACCTAACGTATTATTATTATAACCGCCTCTTCACAAAAGATAAATAATAATTATTGACTAATTTAAATAAAATATAATATCTTGAAACATCTCACACACGGCCGTCTGAACCCAAACTTGGCAGAGCCTGTACTATGGTAACCAGACTGCTGATAAACATACTTATATATTTCTAAATACATACATATTATACAATACAAACTTACGTTAACTCTGAAAACAATATACCTACTAATATTTTGGACAGTCGTGTAATATAAACTTTTTGTAAATTAATTTCCGTATGAAATATTAGAAAACGGTTTAAAATTTAACATTTTATATAAGAAGATATTTTGTTTTCGAAGTGAGCTAGTTTCAAATTATTAGCTCATATTGAAATTAAAGCGACGTATGAGGCGTAGTACGGCCTACCAAGTAACCCTTCCTAGCCTTATTCACTCCTTTCAAAGCTACGAAAGAACAGCTTAACACCGTTTTTGTGTGACTACCATCGCCAGAGAGGACGGGGGGGGGGGGGGGGGGGGGAAGGGGTCACAACACAAGCTCTCCTTAGTTTGAAACTAGATGGCGTTGTGTGTCAGATGTCAAAAAAATATTATTATTATCTATCTAACCTTATCTCAATTTTATTTGAGGTCGCCATCTCATTCGTCATTTAACTGTTTATTCCCTTCTTATCCATATCCTCTCGCACACAGTCCATCCATCCACAAGCCTGATGATAGCTTTATATGAGGCTACTTAATACAATGATTAAAGTGAACGATCGTTTAATTTAAAAGTGAATTCTTAGACTTTAACAATTTACGGTTTTCATACCCTATTATAAAGGAAGATATAAAAAATATATTTTTTGCTAACGTTTTTAACATAAACTTCTATGTATGTATTCTTTGTCGGATCAAAATTTTATAATAAAATTATTTTGGGTATTTCCGAACACAAACTAACATACATTTATGTATCTACCTATATGTATTTTCTTTCTCTCATTGACGGATGTTTTAAACTTTTCACTTCAAGTTAGTTCTTTATCTAAAGGAAGTTTCTTCGTGTCAAGGTGCACTTGACTTTGTCCCCCGCTGCATACGAATCTCTGGGGTTATTCCGGTTACTCTGCTTTGACCTCATAAGGAGGGAATCAAAGACAAAAATTTTCGTATTAAAAAATTGACCAAAATGCTACTAAAAGAACCACAAGGTCTAATGAAAAAAAAATAGGGATAAGTTATATGAACATAATTAAAACTCATGACAAATTAGTCATCTGAGATAAAAAAAACCTTTGGAAAAACCTATAATATTATGTTATCTGTTCCGTAATCACTCACAAAATTAAAGTACCTAATGTGTCTAATACAATATAGATATTTAAACGTATCTCCTATATAAAAACACGTGTTAAACCGTAGGTATTTTTATTGTTATGTAACTAGAAACCTGTTTTTGCTTAGGTATTATGTAATGTTCACGTTTTAGACGCCATTTTAAAACTATTCCATGACATTGGAACGTCATAGCGTCTAATTTGAAATTCGAATTATTTTTATTGTCGTTTTAAATGGAGTGGTTAGTGTTTGTCTATGTAGAATTTAGGGACACGGCAGTGCCACCGGCAAGGCAGGTGTTTTTTTTTAAATTATTTTGTATGGATATGATTGGCATGGGCACTCTATGGTGTGACTGTTCGGTCACATCATGGAGTGCAGCAAGCACAGGCGCCTAGGGTCTGCTGCAGTCCTTGGCGATTTCGTTCTAAGGATATAGACGAGCTTCTCTAACAGATGCACCTATAACGAAACCATATTACGTTTGTTAGTCCTGTAAGGAATATTGGGTTCAAATTTCAAATGCTTCACGCTACCTATAATACGTAGTTTGACTTACCAACCTTTGCGCCGTCACTACATAGTAAGGTCGGCTTACTTTGTCTGTACTACAGGGCAACATAATACTATCACAATGTATCCATGTAACAGGGCTTGGATAAGACCCTAGTAGCACTTACACAATAGGGCACCTCTAGTATCAACAACAGTTAACGAATCAACAACAATGTCAGGTCATAAAGAATAGACAATAAGAATCATTTAGTAAATAATAATATTTGTGTATCGCATACTTGGCTATTGTGCATTTTGTTATATTTCGTGTTATTAGACGATCGGAATGTTCGTTAGATGGTATAACAATAGTGAAATTTGTATTGACAATGTTGCTGAGCTGCTGCGGCCGACTTAGTATTGTATATTGTATGAGTAATCGTAAAAAATACTGATGAATGAAATGTTTCTAGAAGGAATTTATAAGCTGTGTTAAATGTTTGTAGAATATAAACTTTTTTTGTGTTATATTCATATTTGAAAGGTGGTCGGTTTTACCAACCAAATAATTAAAAGTTAGTAAAGAGTTAAAATGACCTTAAGTCAGGTCGATGAGACTGGGAGTCCGGACGTCTTAAGAACAGCAGTTCCAAGATCTCTCCTATTACAGGTACAGAGAGGCCCACCGTGTAGTTTTAGTCGGTCTGATTCCGACACAGCACCCTACCGCAAACCCCTGGTGGGTGACGGCCCCAGGGGTCGTTTACACACGTAAACCAAAAAGGTCGATGAGACAGGGTACATCGTAATAACTTTCGCGTTACTCTGTATTTTGGAAATAAAAATAGCTTAGAATCTACTTATAACATAAGGTATCTGTCAGAGATTTTCAGTTTAAATTGGAGATTGATCGAATCCTACAGACACTAATAAAAAATGTTTTTTTCCCCACTCTGATAACCAAGGTGGTGCTTCTACAATACTTCTGCACAAAACCTGGTCCTGTAGAGCTGACTCAAAAGGAAGTAATGCATTTGTGACTTCAGGATTGCAGATGTTCATAGACGACGGTAGATACACTTCAGGCGAAATCATCATCAACAGCATTTACTAGTCTACTGTTGGATATAGGTCTCTCCTCAGAAAGAATGTTTTGGCCTACTATACCACGCTATCCAGACGGGTTGCCTTAGGGTTTGTTTCAAGTTTTCCTTCTCTTTGCAGTGCTGTTGTCCTGCGTAGTTTGCTCCCTGAGTCGGCTCCTACGACACCCGCGGGATGAATAGGGGTGGTAATACAGTATTCTTAATCTGTCACCACACTGATAATCGTTACGTATAAATCTTTTGCCTTTTAGACGAATGGTTGAGTTCGGTTTAGGCGATAAGTAATAAAAAATCAACACTTATTGGGATTTGCAAGTTTTTGATATAAAGTACTTTGTACTCTAATTAGTATCAGTTTATATCAACGTGCATTTAACAATATTTTTTTTGCAAATTCATGATGATTTCTGTTAAACACTATCGCGATTTATCTAATTGTATTATATGACGTAAGACGTCTAGACCATGCTGATCGACAACTGACAAGTCAACAATTCGTCAATAAAAATTCGTCCACAAATTCAGTTCTTATTTACTCTCGATCTCACAAATGACATAAAAGGTATTCTAGTTTAGAATAGTATAGTATAGTAGTAAAGTATTACAAAGACTAGCAGAATACCGATCCAACTTTCGGTTACAATACGATGTAATCACATTACAGTCAACGTTGGATGTTTAATACTTTACTACAAGAATAGCTTTTATGGATGACATTTGTGAGATCGAAAGTAGAATGGAACTGAATAGTAAACGACTTTTTTTACGAGATTTGACCTTTAGGTCAAAATGACTGGTACGATTTCATATCAAGGGTCTTGGAAGAGATTGTGGTGTTAGGAACACACCAGAAACGAATATTCTTATGGATTCCCTCAGACGTTTGTATTTAAATATGATTCTAAACGTGTGTGTGTCTCTGAACTCCTAAGGATATCTGAAGATTTTTCTGTGTTTGAGTGTAGTGGAGTTTCCCTCCAATGTCAAGATTCACTGTTAGACCAGATGCTTTAGGGTGTTTTACGGGGTTTAAGATTGAAAACAGACGAAGGTCTAACCTATCCAATTTTATCATTTGAGTTATGTGTACGCACTTTTCTGGAAGGTTTAGAGTTATATAATTATATTCTCTTTAGACAAGAAACTTAACCAGATGAAATATAACTTGAAGGATGTAGATTTCCAATTCTAATTAGAAGACTAAACTAATGACGTTTTATAATGAAAAATAAAATTTACTGCTGCTGTTCACTAATTGGCTTGTCAGCATGCAACAGCAGCAATTGCGCAATATAAAACTACATATATCTCCTTAAATTATAGGTAAATTATGCAAACCTTTCATCAGAATTACTCAATGTTTTTTAAAAACATTTACGATAAGTAAACAATTGTTTTTGTTCACCTTGAGCGCGATAAGCGAAAGAACTACGAAGTGCATAACATTGTGTTTATTTCCGCGTATTCTAGACGATAATGTGTTCTGAGTTATATTTGAGACATAATATTTACAATTGTCTATGGGTGATTATACGAAAATTGGGTAACTCAATGTCATTAAACAATAGAACGATGTGTTATTATATTTTGTATATATTTTGATGTTATTTTAAAACAATTAAACGCCTTTTATTTGTCATTCAATTTTAGCTACTCAGTTTGTAAATTTCCACAATAGGTTCTCAAAACGTCAGTACTTTGGCATGTCACAATCCTGAAAACGCACAATAAAGTGGCTGTGTATTAAATATTACCATGAATTTAAGCAAACTTACTGTTTCACTACAATCTATGAAGTAGTTCACAATGTACATTACAACTTTTATAATATAATATTCTTACCGTTGTTGTAAAAATAATAAAAAACTTTGTGTTCACTTTTTTCGTCAGTCCGCTGTGTGTTGTTCGAATTTGAATTTCCCGCTAAATATTGTCGACTCAGGTTAAAATCCTTGTTAAATTTCAAGGTTGGTAATGTAGTTAGCTGCAGTGTTTGTCACCGAAACACATCTAGTCAAAATTTCAGTCCTATGGTGAGTCGTTATTTTCTTGTAAACATGTGTTATATTTTAATTTATACTTAAACTATACTTAAAACTGAATACTCAGCATCAAAAATATAAACAAGTTAAAAAACAATTAAAAAAAGTTGTAAAATCTGTTAAAAATACTCCAAAAACCAGAATTGAAGAAATGAGTGTCAGAATCAAAATAAATAAATTAAGCAACATAACAATGGTTAAAATGTCAGAAGGCTGTTTTGATGATTCAAATAGTTTAAGTACTTTGTTATGAATTCTATGTTAATTGGTGTCTTTAAGGCAGAAAGAGTCATATTTTAGTTTCATTTGTTTGTTGATTACTTAGAAAATGTTTAATGTTAAAAGGAGGACAGTTAAACTACCTCAAAGTACTTAGTACTAATACTTAGTTAAGTTCTTAGTTAATTACTATAACATTATTACCAATGTTAAAAAGCTGTTTTAAAGGCGGAGATATTTTTTTTACAGTATTACATATTAATAGTTTTTAATTGTTACTTAAGTCAATTAACACTTAAAATATGAGCCATTATTAGATGCTAAGAGATTTCTTCTAAATATTATTAAATTACATACATATCTCATTAAATTATGTTTTTTGTCAGTACTTTGTCACCGACGTCAGTTCCCTGGCAGTCAAATTCAGAAATATCGAAATATCTCGGCATCTATCGAAATATCTGTTAAATGGCGAAAACAAAATGGAGGATGTTTTAACATTAATCACGTAAGAATATTTTTTTTTTATATTTGCCCTTACAGGATAATTGGGCAAGTTTCGTTAACCGTGGGAGAGTTATGCTTATGCACAGATGGGCTGCCTCTACCGGTGTTCTACTCCGGTATCACAGAACACCAGCGTTAAACAAATATTTCGTTTCATTTTCCCGAGTGAGTGAACTTAGTGAACAACGTCATACAGAATATGTTTTATTAATTTGAATGAGATCATATTGCCTGTAATTTACAAGAACTGTTTTATTTCTTAGTTCTTCAAGCTTATTTTCTTCATTAATTTAGTCACATTGTTATGGTTTTGCCGGACAAAGGTCGGTATTAAAGCAAATAATCATTGTCACCGCATTATTTGTGTAAAGATAAAAGACCTAACAATGATTTTCTAGGGCTTCCCCGCACACAAACAAAAAAAACTTACGCAAAGAAAAAATCAAACTTTTTATCAAAGACCTTTTTTTTAGATTAAGACTAATAAGATACTATAAGATTTCGCGAGTCTGGCGTCATCATAAGTCACAGTGGCTTATAAATAAGCTACAGATGTGATTATATGATTTATAAATCATATGATTTACAACAGCTGATTGTGAAAGAGATATACACCTATATCTCCATTGAGAGCTAGTCCTTAGCGTTACATTTTGATATAAACTTGCATATAATAAATAAATTGGATATGGTCTAACAGTTTTTTTTAATTGACGTGTGTATGTACGTAAATGTCTATCAGCAGTCTGTTTGCCATAGTAAAGGCTCAGTCGAGTTTAGAATTAAGCGGCCGTGTCTAAGATGTGTCGAGTTATTGTTTCAAATTACAATTATATTAGTTTCTCGTTTAAACGAAAATAAACGCCCAATTTGACGCCCATTACGGTTATTGTTCTCTAATGATTCATTATAATAATGTAATGTTGTGTATGTTAGCAATAAACAAATTACCCAATAAACAACAGAGATGCGTTATCTCAGAAAAGCGTCTCTAATTTTATTAGCAAACTGGGTGTCTACCGCTGTTTTAAGTAAATTTTTGGTAACTGCTTAGTTCCTAAGGGCCTTAAGATTATAACCTTCCTTAATAATAACGTATTGTATAAAAATAATTAATCAGATCCTGAACTACCTGTATAGTTCTAAAGATCACGAATGTCATGTTTAAACAAAAAATCAAATCAAAAGAACCCTTAAGAGAAACGTTTATTAGGGAAATGTCAACTCGGAGGTAACTAAAATTAAAGGGGTTC